AACTACAATCTACAAAAGCCTTCTAAAGAGAAAATATGATCACCAGTAACCCTACATTTTCAACATCTAGAGGAAAATCAGGAGTCCTGGTATGGCACTGTACGATAAACAGTGGATTGGTAACCACAAGATCAGCAGTTCAAACTCACCAACCACTCCTTGGGAACCCTATCAGGGTCACTATGAGTCAGAGGAGATTCTATGGCACTTAACAACACAGGAAAATCAAGACTCCTTACCTGTTGACATTCAAGGACTTTTATAAATCCCGTAATACCACGTTGCACTGATGCTACACCCGGGGCCTCCAGACCTTTGCTTTGCTTTTACTGTACTTTTTGTCTATGGACATTCCATCTATTCTTAACAGTAAATTATACCTGCCACGTTCTCTATGACAGAGTGCACCTTCCACTTTGTCCAGACCTCTCTGGTGGAACTGCTTAATTTGACTCGCATGCTGTGTTGTTACGTGTGCTCAAGTCGGTTCTGACTCATAGCAACCCTACATAAGGCTTCTGAGGCTGTAAATCTTTACAGGAGCAGAAAGCCTCAACTTTCTCCTGTGGAGTGGTTGGTAAGCTCAAACTACTAAACTCATGGTTCACAGTCCAGTGCTTATCGTACAGAAACACCGCTCTCTTGCCCACCTGCTAGCTGTTTATAAATCGGTCTCCCCTGGGGCAAGAACCGTACCTGATTTACATATCCTTGGAGTGTGGCAGAAGATCTGGTGCTTAGTGGTGGCAGGAAAATGCTTATTTGTGATCATTACGAACATGTCCTGAGTACTTTATGCAAACTATTCAAATACCGAAAGTGAGTTATCTCACAACGCTTTATAGACAAATAAGCTTAGGGAAATTAATAACTTGCACCAAATCATAATTAGAAATCAGTGAAATCTGTATTTGCACCCAAACCTTGCTATTAACCATTGTACTATCTTTATCTTGCCTCTTGAGAGATCTGATTCTGGTAGACTTGGGCCCTATGTGGCCCCTTACCTTGGCACTGAACTGGTTCAGCTCTCCGCTCTCATGGCCTGCAATGATGCACTCTCCCAACGGTCCCCAAACAGCACTAGTGATCTTGGAATCACTGCAAGGGATCTTCATGTAGGGCTCGTTGCTGTCTGAGGGGCAGCAGATGTCAGGTTCTGGGCTCCGGAACAGAACCCTTCACCTTAACCTCAGCCCCAGCCCTTACCGATCTGGCTTGGGTCCCGTAGGTCGAAGAAGCTCACAAAGCACTGATAGCCCATCTGCTTGTCCGTGGAGAACATAATGATGTTACCCCCAAAGTCAAAGCCACAGGTCCGGACAGCGGAGTTGGTTTTGAGTAGGGCCAGCTGCTTCCCTGGAGACAAGCAAGAGTCTGGGCTAGTCCTGGCCCACTGCCATCAAGGGAAGACACTCCCTCCACCTGCCTAGCATCGTGTACCACTGTTTCTCCTACTTACTCCAATCCATCCCTCTCCTCTTCCTCACTAAGACTGCTGTGGCTCAAGTCTTTCAACTTCTTCCACCTCATCTTCCCTCAGACATCAGCTAATGTGGCTCTGCTAACAGTGGATTGTAATACAAGGGGGCTTTAAAAAGGTCATGGAAAAATTCTACTATCTTTTCATTCCATTTTCCTATAAACTTCTGAAATCCCTTCATATATATCTCCCCTCCCCCCCAGACTGTGCTCCTCCACAGCAAAGACCCAGTCTAATTCCCCAGTGCCCAGCAGAGGTCTGTTCCAGAATCTTACGCTCAGTAAATACTTACTTAAATGAAGCAGCTTTCATAGGCTTCCCTATCCTTAGAGGCAGCTATTTCAATGCCTGGTGTTCACTGCTACCTGAACTTACCAAAAGTAAACAGATACTACTCTTCCCTGCTTGGGACCTCCATAGCTTGCTAAGGTCTACAGAACTCCTGAATTGGCACTGGAGGTTTTGTTGTTAAGTGCTGCAAAGTCGGGTGTGACTCACAGAGCCTGTACAGCGTTTCTGAGGAGCAGCTAGTGAGTTTGAACTGTCGATGACCTAACAGTAGGGTAAGTCCAGTGTTGATCCTACAGTGCCACACCAGGAATCCATTCAAAGTCTAGTGCTGGCCTATCTATCTAGCCTCATCTTCTCTACTGTCCACTCCTTTCACTGCCCAATAAGCAGGAACTCAGCGAGCTCAAGATGTCTTAGTCTTGACACTTGCTATGCTTTCATTCTTGAATGTGCCAAAGCGATGACCTTTTTCAAGCTCCAGCTCACATGACCAGTAAGTATCCTAGAAAACCCTCCCCGGCTGCTCTCTTCCTGCTCCAGGCAGTCAGATGCCCCTTGGTCCTTCCACGGTAGTCTGTGCTTTCTCTAACATGGCTTTTATTTTACTGTAGTGCCTCATTTCTCATGTCTTATTTTCTCATTCCCTAAATTGGAGACTGTCTCTGGACTTATCTGTTTCATGAAAATCTGTTCACTTAAAAAAAGGTATACTGTAGATCTTCAGTGTTTGCTGAGAAATGAATGATCCAAGCTTACCTGTTTCACAGTCCCAGAGACGACAGCTGTTGTCAGCTGAGCCGGTGAGGACATGCTTGGTGTCCCCTAAAGTGGGTATTAAGGAAGAAGACCAAGTTCACCTGAGCCCTGATCCAGGGGGAGATCAACTGAACTACTTCCGTATTTGACTTCAAAGAGCTTTTCTTCCTCTTCTTACCTCAGAGCATTCTCACCAACATCTGGAAGTTTCCCCTCCAAAGTTCCCCCAACCAGGGAGTGGACTAGAAAGGAGGGATCATTCTCTAGACCCGCAGTAGCATCCCAAACCACCACCCTAAGCTCAGCAGCCTCTCCACTGCAGGCAGGCCTTCGGGGTATAGACTCAGAGCAAAGGATACAGTCTGCGTCCACACACCACACAGCCCCAGTGTGGCCATTGTAGGTGCCCAGCCTCTCCCCATTCACGGAGTACCATACGTTGACAGTCTGGAAGAATTAAACAACATTATCCCAGGCAGAAGAGCAGCCTAGTTAGCCCTGGAGCCCTCAGCAGCCTCTACTGCTTATAGGTAAGTGACAGGGGAGTCAGGAAGCTAACAAAAGGGTCCTGTTTTGTCACTGCCCCAAGTCCCCAGACCTTCAGATCAAGTTGAGCTCTAGTCTAGAAAAGCAACAGTTTCAGTTGGGGAAGCCACTGTGTCACTGTATTACCTCAAATAGAACATTTCTGCTTTCTGACCTGGAGTCCTGGTATGGCGCTCCAGGTTAATGCGCTAGTCTGCAAGGTCAGTTTGAATCGCAAGGTTGGTGGTTCAAGCTCATCAGCTGCTCCTCGAAAACCCGGGACAAGGCCACTATGATTTGGAACTGACTCAAAGGCACTTAACAACACTCTCTGACCAGGTGTTTTCCCAGCTTTAAAGTAGCCAAAACAATGCTTCCATCAAAGGAAACTGGGAGGCTGCAATGAAATTGTATCTAAGGAGCTTACTATATAAATGACTAACACTAATTAGGCACTCAGATGCACCAAGTACTCTGCACAATTCCTTATATAAATGATCTCATTGTAGCGTCAAGTCAGCCAACCCCATGAGGGAAGGTGAGGTTACATATAACACTCATATTTTATACAAAAGGAAACTTGAAGTTTAGAAAATGACATGTTCAGAGTCACAACACTAATAGACCCAGGTTTGTTTGAACCATTAGTGTTAATTTTTTCCATATGGAAGTGCTTCAAAAGGCGTTCACTAAGGGACTATTTGCACTCAGTGAGCTCACTGAATGAAGTAAGACTTGTTGTGTGCCTTTCTACTCATAGTGACCCCATGGGACAGAGTGGAACTGCCCTGTAGGATTTTCCAAGTTGAAGAAGCTCTGGTAGCGTAGTGGTTACGAATTGGGCTGCTAACCTCCAGGGCGGCAGTTCGAAACTACCAGCTGCTCCGCAGGAGAAAGATGAGGCTTTCTGCTCCCATAAAGATTTACAGCCTCAGAAACCCTGTGCAGGGTCTCTATGAGTCGGAACCGACTCCACGGTACTTAACAACAACAATCTTTACAAGGAAAAACAATCAACTTCTCTCTTGGAGATACTGCGTGGGTTCAACCTGTCAACTTTTCAATTAGCAATACCATTGCACCACTACACCCATTAAGTCCCATGTCCCTTGTGGGCCATGGATCAACTTTCCAACTCACAGCGACCCTGTATAGGGTTTCCAGAAGCAACTGGTGAGTTTGAACTGTCAACCATGTGGTTCGTTGGTTGGTGATGTGATGTGGAGTCGGTTCGACTCATAGCGACTCTGTACAGGGTTTCTGAGGCTGTAAATCTTAACGGGAGCAAAAAGCCTCACCTGGCTCCCGCGGAACAGCTGGTAGTTTCGAACTGCTGACCTTGAGGTTCGCAGCCCGATTCGTAACCACTTCGCTACCAGAGCTCCAGGTGGTTCGTAGTCCACTGCTTATCCTGCAGCGCCACACCAGGAGTCTATTCCCCAGTGCTGGTGCAAGGGTTTTGTTCTTTCTCAGAATGGTCTCGTACCGGTTTTCTCTTCGCAGAACCGTGTGCATTTTGTGTCCCCCTCTAGTGGTAAAATCAGTTTGCAAAATCATCGCCTAGACAGGAAGGACCCCCGCCCCAGCACCGGGTTCCCTCCACGTGGTCCCGCCCTCCGGCCCTCAGGCTGATGCTCACAGGGTCCTTGGCCACGGTGAACAGGAGGTCTCCCTCGCGGTTGTACTTGATCTGCGTAATGGACCGCTCATGGCCTTGCAGTAGAATCGGCTTCTAAGGAGGCAGGACGGAAGTGTCAGCGGCGGAAATTGGATTCCTGCCCCAGCCCGGGACCCTCAATCCAATACCCCTAACTCGATGGAACTCACCATGCCGGCGGTAACGCGAGGAGACCCGGGGCTTGAGTAGGACCGGATGAAGCCGAGCGTCACTTCCGGATTCCGGGTCTACTCTCTGTTCCCGGAAGTAGAAGAGATCGGCGTTGCCATGGCGGCATCTTTTGGTGAGTAGCCGACCCCGCCCATCCTGAGTTTCCAGATTCTCCTCCCAGAGTTCATTTCCCATTTTACCTTCACGCTACAACCTTACTACAATCCCAGACCCCAGAATGCTGGGTGAATCTTCCCATCCTCCCGGGGACCTACCAGCCAATCACACACGAAAGAGGGCGGTTGGGGCGGCCAGGATAGAAAGGCCAGCGGACTGCCGGGCCGGGATGGAGGCCGAGGGAGCGCCGGGCTACGCGGGAGGCTGGTTCGTGGGGGTGGGCTGAGTGACCCACACCTCCATCCAGGGCAGGTACTGACCCTGGTGCTGGTGGCCGCCCTGTGGGGTGGTACGCAGCCACTGCTGAAGCGGGCCTCTGCTGTCCTGCAGCAAGTTCATGAACGTACCTGGGCTCGGCAGTTGCTGCAGGAAATGAAGACCCTCTTCTTGAATACTGAGGTGCGTCCCTGAACAGCCTGTCTCTTGAGGGTGGCCGCCAAGATTTTATTTCTGTAGTCACATCTGGGCCAGAATCCTGGCTCCGTCACTTATTTGCTAGATGTTCTTGGACTAGTAACTTGCCCTTCTTGAACCTCACTTTCATGGTCTGAAAAATGGGGATAATAATGGGAATAGTAACACCATACTTTATAGAGCAGTTGTGAAGATTAGGTGAAATGAGGCACATAGATATCTTAGTATTCACCCTAGGTCATAAGTGCGCCGTTCATGGATGGCGCGGAGGAGTAGGCATTAGGCTCCTAACCTAATGGTTGTGATTCAAAACCACCAGCCATTGCATGGGGGAAAGTTATAAGACTGTGTGCTCCAGTAAAGATTCACAGTCTCAGAAACCCTATAAAGGGTTGTTATGCATTGGAATCAACTTGATGACTGTTGTTGTTGTTGTTAGGTGCCATTGAGTCAGTACTGACTCATAGCGACCCTATGCACAGCAGAACGAAACACTGCCTGATCCTGGGCCAACCTCACTACTGTGGCCACGCTTGAGTCTATAGATGCTGCCACTTGGCCAATACATCTCGTTGGGGGGGGTCTTCCTCTTTTTCTCTGACCCTCCACCTTACCAAACATGATATCCTCCAGTGACTGGTCCCTCCTGACAATATGTCTGAAGTATGAGAGACGAAGTTTGGCCATGTGGGTTAGTATTATTTCAGTTTCTTCAGCAGACCTTTCTAGAGGGAGGAGGCTTGGGATTCAGCTTGGAAGGGAGGGTAAAGAGGAACAGGGAGAACTACCTCTGACTCCAAGGCTGCCAGTTTAAGCTCATGGTAAAGACAAAGACATGTGCATAACCACCACTCACGCCTAAGGGCTGTGAAAGATACAGATAAAGTGCTGTTCAGAGGTGGGAAGCTAGAGTTGGGGACACTCAGGGAAGGCTTCCCGGAGGTCGTGACATTGGCATGAATTCAAGCCCTTGCAGGATGAGGAGGATAGGAACTAACAGGGAAGGCTCTCGAGGACATTCCAGGGCAGAATCATGGAGTTCAGTCAGTAACCATTTCCCTTTTTGCCCTAAAAAGGTCCCTGAGGGCTTAGTGCTCCCCAGGCCCTTATAACCACCTCTCACTCCAAGGAAAGACATGCTAGACGCTCAGCTCAGTCCAGCACTCACACTTACTGCAGCTTTCTCTCATTTCTAGTACCTGATACCCTTTCTTCTCAACCAGTGTGGCTCCCTTCTCTACTACCTCACCTTGGCATCCACAGGTGGGTCTCTAGCTTGGAACTGTTTTGCTTAGTGGTGGAGGCCATCCAGGAGACTCATTTTGGGCAAGTATCCTGAAACACCCTGTTCTCACTAGTAAGGAAGAGCTCACTGTCTCTGGTTCCCTGTATACAATGGGCTGCCAAGCACTAAGGTTGGTGTGAAGCTTGGCAGTCTTATGCAAGGACAGAGGAAGAAAATGTTCATCTTGCTTTGCCAGGTGCTAATGTTGGTACTGTTGCTTCAGTTGCATGCTATCTTCCTTGACCTTGAACAACTCTTGTATGTGAGCCTCAGTTTTATACAATCTGTTCCATAGCATTGTGAGGATTACATTTTTTTTTCCTTTTTTAAAGTTTTTATTGTGAATTGAGTGGTAGTTTACATGGGGGAACATCAGTTTTATATTCATTGTTTCATTGCAATGATTATAATCTCTGTGCATCATCATTCAACAGTATTTGCTTCTATTCTCTATGGGGGGTTTTTTTGTGGGTGGCGGGGACTCAGGACCCAGGGAGGCCGGGAGGTGGGGGGAAGCAGGCTTGTAGAATGTACCCTTTCCTTGATTGGTGATGCATGATACATGGAGGGGATTGTAATCATGGCAATGAAACAATATATGAGAGGATGAATGTAAAACTAATGTTCTCCCGTGTACCCATGTAAACTATCACATAACTCACAATAAAACTTAAAAAAAAAAAAAAATGCAGCTGTGCCACAGTCTAGCTGTGAGACCTTGTAAAAAAATAAAATAAAATAATAATATATAATCATTTAAACAACCAAAGGGCACATTCTGCAAGCCTCCCTAATGGCCACCAGCAGCTGGCCACCAGATTAAATTTAGTAGTGTATGAGAAGCATCTCAACAGAACGCCAGGTACACAGTAGAAGCTTAATAAACAGAAATTTCCTTTTCCCCATTTGTTGACTGACCTCTATTGCATCATATACTATGTTAATTTTATATTTTTTTTATTATGTTAAATATACCTAAAACATCTTACTATGTTGAATATACCTAAAACATCAAACCCACTGCTAACAAGTCAATTCCGACTCAGTGACCCTGTCTAGAGTTTCTGAGGCTATAAATCTACAGGAGCAGAAAGCCACATCATTTTCTGATGAGTTTGAATTACTGACTTCGTGCAGTGCTCATTCTCCAGTGCCACCAGGGTTCCTTCTGTTAAATATATATATTTGATCAAACATTTGCCTTTTCAGCATTTTGTACATGCTCAATTCTGTGACATTCATTAAATTTATTGTATTATGTAGTTATCACCACTATCCACTTCCAGATTTTTCCATCACTCTTAACAGAAGCTCAGTGCCCTCTACACAGTGACATCCCCTTCTCTCTCTTCTCCTGTAGGGACCCACTAAAACTTTGGTTTCTATATATTTGCCTATTCTAGATATTTCATGTAAGTAGGATCTTTCATGTAAGTAGAATCAGACAGTATTTGTCTTTTATGTTTAGCATTGTTTCCACAGTTCATCCATGTTGTAGCATGTATCAAGACTTATATTCCATTGTATTACACATTTTATATAATTTCTATCATGACCCTGTGAAGCAAACATGACTATTCCCATTCAGAGATGAGGTTACCAAGTTTTGAGCTATTTATTTCATCTGCTTGTGTACCGTGTCAGTGCAGACGCTTTGAAAGCATGCATTACTTGAAGTTTTATGATCTTGAACTTTGCTATGAGAAGCCCCCCTGCGGTGCTGCTGTGGTTTTGTGTCTCCTGGAGTCTCACACTGGCCTTCCCAGGGGACTTGAAGGGACTCTGGGTACCAGTTAATTCTGGGAAACCCCCTCAAAGGCCATGAGAGAGCAGGAAGATAAGCAGACCTCCATATCTGCGACCCCATCTTTGACTAGAGTCACTCCGCTTTTATCTATTTCACATTTTAGATTTCTTACAAAATTCATTTCAAGGAGGTTTGGAGCACTGGTGGTGCTGTCGGTAAGCACTGGGCTCTTAACCACAAGGCCAGCAGTTCAAACCCACCAGCCCCTGTGAGGGAGAAAGATGAGGCTATCTTGTTGTTAGGTGTGGAGTTGGTTCCATCCCATTGTGATCCTGTGTCCAACAGAACCCAACACTGCTCAGTCCTGAACCATCTTCACAACTGCTGCTACGCTTCAGCCAATTGTTGCTGCCACTTTGCCAATCCATCTCACTGTGGGGCTCCCTCTCTTCTGCTGCCCCTCCACTCTACCTATCATGATAACCTTCTCCAGAATTAGTCCCTCCTGATAATATGTCTAAAGTATAAGAGAATAACTCTCACCATCCTGGCTTCTCAGGAGCATTTTGGCTGTACTTCTGGCTGTACAATATAGTTTGTTTGCTCTCCTGGCAGTCCAGGGTACATTTAATATTCTCCTCCAACACTAAAACTCAGTACATCAAGTTTTCTTTAGTCATTGTCCCAGCTTTCACTCCCATAAATGTTTGTTAACTCGGAAACTCTACCAAGCAGTTCTACTCTGTCCTCATAGGGTCTCTAGGAGTCAGAATCGACTTGATGGCAGTGGGAATGCATTCCCAGCTATCCCAGAGGATAAAGACCTCGTCCTCTTCATCAAAACATGGTGGTCAGCTGCAAAGATCAGGTGTTTTTGTTGTAATCCTGAGGAAGCACTGAGCTTGATGTCAGGGGACCAGGGCTAGAGTCTTAAGTTTTTCTGCAACTTATCTGGAAAGCAGGGTCATGATGCCACTGTAAAAGGGCTGTTTTGATGATGAAACCAGTGTTTTGTGCCTTGAAAGGCGTTTTTTGCATTTCAGTGATACTTCTCATTCTGACTATCCAGATCTAACCTTAGCTGTGCCCATCTGTAACTCCCTGGCCATTGTCTTCACGCTGATAGTTGGAAAGGTATTAGGAGAAGATATTGGTGGAAAAGGTAAGTCAGACCACTGCAGGTGTGGACAGCAGCTACTTGGGCTTTGACAGACCCCGGTTAGCTCCTTCCCAGAGCCCAACTGTGAAGGAGGCTGGACTGCAACTGAAAAATTGACAGGTGGGAAGAGGCCGTTCTCACTCTGGCCCATTTCTCTGGCTGTGCAGCCTCCAGCCTTCCAGCTTCCTTGTGGCCAGCAAAGCGCCTTTCCCCTGGGCAGTCTGGGTTGAGGACAGAGGTTGGGGTAGAAGTTGGGACCAGAGCCCCAAGCCCTTCCCTCAGTCCTGCAGCAGCTCGGCGCCAGCCGCTGGCCTCACAGCTCCTCACTTCCTGCCCATTATCACAGGAGCAGTCACAGGCATGGTGCTCACTGTGGCAGGAATTGCACTCTGCATCACAAGCTCAGTGAACAAGACCCAGGGGCAGCCATCTACCCTCTGAGTGGGTCCACTCCACCCTCCAGCTCTGCTGTCTCCAGGGAGCCCTCTGCCCGTGCGATGCAGGTGGGAGCAGAGACCCTCCGCTTCCTCATCCCCCAATAGCTACCGCAAGGATCACAGTAAGAGAACTGAGCAAAAGGCTTCTGTGACACAGCACACACCCTCAGCAGATCCCTTCCTGCTCTTATCTCAGGCTCCACCCAGCCCTTATGACAACTAAAAACTTTTTGGAAAATGGAAAGAAAAGATAATGGAGTTTTCCCTTTTACTTTTAAGCCCCCTTATCTGGCCTGATCTGGACCATCACACAGGCAGGATCCATGAATTGCATGCAGCGCCCCTGCAGCCTGGAGAGGGTACTGCAAAAAGTCAGAAATGCAAACCAGAGGCCCCAGGGCTCAGTCTGAGTGGTCCCACTGGCTGAAGGGGTAGGACTGGTGGGTAAAGTGGCAGGTGGAGGGGAGATAAACTGTTGGTTAGCCTCACCTGCCCCACCCAAGCGGTGGGCAGGATTCCTCAGTCACCAGCCCCTCTCAAGCACTGCCCAGCTCCAGCACCCAGCGCAGTGCCTGGTAACCAATCTGGAGCACCTTCAATAAATCCGTAGTAAACAGACAAAGGTTAGCAAGTGTTCTTTTATTGTGACCAACCCACTTCCAAGTTTGGCCTGTCTCCCAAGCTCAGTCAGCTACTCCTCTGGCTTGAGAAGTCCAGGACGAAGGACCCTTGAGGTTAGGGCTGCAGGAGAATAGGGGTGGGACTGTAGAGGCTGCAGCCTACCGGGAGCTGGGGGTGGGAACAGGCTGATGGAGGCTGAGGACAAAATGTGACTGCACAGTGATGTCCCCAGTTCCTGGCTGAAGCTGCTGGTTTTCAAGATGGCAGTGCAGGGGCTGAGGCTAAAATAGCTGCCTCAGGCCCCAGCTAGTCATTTCCCAGGAGCAAGGCCTCTTCTACCATCTGTGCTGCCCTCTGCAGGAGGCAGAGAGCTGTACAGGTGGAGCCATCTGCAGACCCCAGTCCAGCCCCCAACAGGGAGTTCCAGGAAAGGAAGAGCCTGCAGAAATCGAGATCTGCCTCCCATTTAACAAAGTCAGGCTCTGACAGGTTAGGAGATCTGTTCACAGTTACCAGGGAAGCTCAGGGCTGCAAGTTCTTAGTTCAGAACTGCTCCCAGCCTAGCTCACCTGATCCCAGGGCTCCTCTGTCTGAGTATCGTCATCATCTGCTACTTCCTGGGTGCCTACTGTCTCCCTCCTTGGGTGGGGAGCCCCATATACTCCCTTGACTCCTGATAAGGGAGACAATATTGTCTAATGCCTAGGCTGAGGTGCCGTCAGCATTCTCTTGACCTTCTCAGCTAGCCTCTTCCCCTCACCTGAGCCTTGCTCTACTCTCCTTGATACCTCAGAGGAGGTTGGGAGGTGAGAGGCCTTTGAGTTCCCCATCCCCATTCCACTCGTGCACGCTCATGTTTTTGGCTTAAGCATTGCCCTTCCCACATGCTGCTTTAAATACACCAAGTCCCTATGAAGAACAAAGGACTGGATGTGCACATGGGGATATCGGGACCATTGTCAGCCTAGGGACAGCGCCTTTCCTGGGCATGCTGCCCACAGACCTCCCCCACAGAGACCATCATGTCCCTGGAAAAGGAGGGCTGAAGAGGGCCTGGACCACAGGAGCCCCTCACCTGAGGAACATGAGAGAAGGGGGAGTCTGTTTCTCAGCTGGGTGGCCTCCTGAGGTCTGGCATACAAAGCAGATGGTTCAGCTTGAGCTGGCTCCTTTGGAGTGGGCTGGGTTGCTTGTGCCCTGTGACCATGGGCCTAGAGAGGGGACACTGGGATTAGACCACAGGTTCTGGCTGTTGTTACCTTCTCTTCTTTCCAGTCCGGGCCTCAGAGGGCCTCGATGCCTGAGGAAACTTGAAAGAGGCGATGCCAACCATCTCCATGCCCTACATCCTCCCCCTAGCTCTTAGATCCCTCTTTTGTCAGGATTTCTGATCCAGGGATATAGCAGTGTGTGGAAGGGCCCACTGGCTCCTCTCTTGGGAGGACTCAGACCTGGCATGGAACAGGATGCTGCTAAGTTTCCTGGGACCCTGCTCTGTCAGATAATGCCAGTTCTTTCTCCCAGCATCTAACAGTTCCTTTCTTAAGACCTTCCTACACCTGGATGAGCTGCCTCTCATGGCAGGTACAGCACGTGCCTGGGCCCCGACTGAGCAGTTTCTGTGAAACATCGCCATTTCCATTGACAGCTGTGAGAGAACAGCAAGTTAACAGTAAGACTTTCCTATTTGAGTGGCTCCATGGGCCAAGGCAGACTGTGTGGTCATGCTCTGCTGTGTGTCGGAAGAGAAGAAGACACTGAAAACAAGGGACTTTGAGCGCATCACAGAACTGCTTTTCATTCCGTGAAAAAACAAGGAAGGTGCACGGCAGTTTTCACGGAGTCCTGATGTGGCGCTGTGGGTCAATGCGCTGGACTGCAAGGTCAAGTTTGAACCATAAGGTTGGCCATTCAGACCCACCAGCCACTCCTCGGAAACCTTATACAAGGTTGCTATGGGTCGGAACGTAACGACAACACCACCACCTTAGTGTGTTAAGTAAAAGATGAGTGAGTTTGGCTGGTATCATAGGTGTCAGGTGTTTGGACAGGGGAACAAGTTCAGTGCTTGGCATAGCGCTGTTTTCCCTAGATACACTTCTGCTCTTATACCAAGTTCTGGTCTGCTTTCTGCCACTCAACAGTTGTGTCACCCTGAACAAATCATTTTACTCCCTTGAGCTTCAGTTTCCTCCTCTGGACTATGAAGACAGTAATCCTCACACTACTGGGAGGAGACAGACATGAAGTCAGAGCCAGAGAAGTCAGCCAGTCCGCCCTCCATCCCACCTCCACAACCCCTGCATCACCTACCTCCTGCCTTTGGATCCTAGACTTCTGGTCTGGGGGATGCCTGCAATGGGAAAGGAAAAGGCCTGAGGGCAGGGGGGTATGGAGTGCGGGAGCACACAGACCCAAAGAACTGCTCCAGCCACACATACCAGTAGCCCTTTGGCAGGGCGGGGCTGGGCACCAGCAACTCTAGGTAGGGGAGGGCCTTGAACTCCTCCTCTCCGACCGCCACATAGTAATGGCCGCTCACCAGAGCCGCCCCTGTAAACAGTGGGAGCCCCTCCAGGGTGCAGAGTCTGGGGACAGAGAGAGGTGAGTGGAACAGGGTTGGTGTTTCAAATGTCTCATCCTATTTGGCAGACTGAGGGAGTGGGTACAGGGTGCCCTGGCACTTGACCCGGGCATCAGGGCCAGTCCCTGAGGCTCTGCTGTGGCTCTGAGGACTGGGCCACAGGAGCAAGTCCTATTTGGGGGACCACTCAACAACTTTGCTTTTGCCTTTTCATCCGCAGGGCTAGCCCATACCAGTTGGGCTCCCTTTTGGTGGCCTTTGAACCTCCCCAGTCCCATTCTTACCTGCTTACATCCCCACTCTGCAACTTGGCCTTCTCAGTCAGGAGCTTCAACACTGTTTCCCAGTCCTCCCTGGCAGCCTGGGATAGCTTCAAGCTAAATGGGGGGCTTAACAGGTTCCCATTCCTGAACACACTAGGACAAAGAGCAGCCTAGTAAAGGGCAGGATCCCCAGGCCTCCCACTGTGTGAGAGGAAGGAGGACGACATTGTCCATTTTCATCCATCAAGCATATGGGGCTTTTGACACCCCTACCAGTGACCAGGGCCTCCAGGAGCAAACCCTGTCCCGAAATTCGGGACTTGGGACATCTATACCCTGCTGCCCTGCATGAGCACTCACCGAATGTGGCAGGGAGCACCCGCAGGGAGCTGCCGTCCAAGGGTCCCATCACATATGTGGTGACTCACAGGAGGACCCTGAAACTCAAGTTGGCCCCAAAGTCAGGAGAAATTAGAGCTTGGGTGAGTTAGTCCAAGTTGAGGTGAAGGGCAAAGGAACCAGTACAGGGTGAAAGAGACAAGGACATGAGAGGACCAGTCACACTAGTTACCAACGGGGGTGTCATCTCACTTTTTCACCCTATCTGGGACTCATAGCTGTTTGCTTTCTTTGGGGACCACAGCCTGGAGATAAAGGCTGGGAAAGGGGCAATGGGTAGTGTCTTTTAAACTCCTGTACCCCAACAAGGGCAAGAGGTGGCTCTAGAGTGGGCCTGGGGAGTATCCCCATGGAATGGCTCATCCTGTCATCCCCAGTGCACAATGGAGGCAATCCAAGGAAGGGTGGAAAGACAAGGGCTGGGGGGAGCACTCACTTGTGGTCTGTTGCTCTTTTTGCCTGGATCCTTCCCTCCAGGGGGGAAATAACTGGAAGAACAGATAGTTTATGGGTCAGATCAGCAGTTGCTAGAGTGGGGGGCTGGGATCCAGCTCAGCAGGTCTCCTACTCCTTTGGAATAGCCGCTGCCATCTGTCTGGAAACATGTTAGCACATGAACCTGCCTTCCTTAGGGCCCTGGGTCATGGTGCTGTGACTCCAGACTAGGGTCTCGGATACAAACCATTTGTTCAAAGGATGAAGAGAAACTAGTTCAGTACACATTCTACTGTATCCCAAGATTTTCCTCATTTATATGGTAGGTTTTATTTCTATTTTGTCTGATTCACCCAACATCACACATGAAGTGGTGACAGCCCAGATTCTAAGTCTGTCTAGCTCTAGACCCCTTGCTTTTTGCATTATAGTAAACAACTTCAGCTGAGAGCCAAGAGTGGGCCCTGGAGGTCAAGTCTGAGTTGGAAAGTAGTCAGATACTCAGATTCTTCCATCATAGAAGATACAGTCCCACTCTGCCGTGGAGATGCTGCAGCACAGCAGAGAGGAGGTAGCCAGTGGGTTTGGAGTGTTTGGTGATGGTGGGGTATCCAAGCAAGACAAACTGGGGGGAAGGGGTTCAGACTGCTGGTATGGTCTCCTTCCTACAGGATGTGATGGGCATTCGTCCCAGACAGACACTGATTTGTACCAAGGCTGTCTTGGTTTCCCCTTCTAACTAATGAGGATAAAACCAGCCTCTTACCGGGTGATTATATTACATGAGAAGATGAAGAGTGCCTAGTACACACATGCTAAGTGCTGAATAAATGCTGTGACCTCCCTCCGGAGGTTCTGATCGGCCCCAGCCCACTCACTGGAGCTTGTGGAATCGCTCGAAGCCAGCAGCCACGTACTGCCCTCCATCCTGCAGCTCTGCCATGTCAGTGACCCGGTGGCCATGACAGGGTGTGTAGAGGGCACGCACAGCCACTGGGGCCTGCACAACTGAGGTCAGCTCACAGAGGAAGGTCTCCAGGGTGGGGAAGCGCCGCTGAGTCACCAGCAGCTGGCGGCCTGGGAATAAGGGATCCCCATTCTTGTACACCACTACCCACTTGGCTCCTGGTCTGCCGCCTGCCATCATGTGTCCTCAGCCAGAAACACGGAGCTGTTGCCAAGGAACTAAGGCAGGGCTGGGAGCGGTGCCAGTCAGAGGTGCAGCCCTGCCCCCTCACCCAGAAAGGCAGGGAGTCTCCATCTGCATCCAGACTCTCATCCAATCTGCTCACTCTATATAGAAAGCCACCAGGAAAGCTAACGGACCTGGAAACTCAGATACTCAAATTCTCACAAGGGACCCCTAGGACTACACAAGTCCAAAGGAAGCCCTGGGACTCACAGTCAAAACAATGAGAGGAGCAGCAGAAATGACATGTAAACACACATGTTCTAATATGGGGGTGTGCAGAGTGTGGAGGACAACTCCAGGGCCTCCCTGCCTTTCCCAAGTCAAAGGCTGAGCATAACCCCTAAGGAAAATTCCACTTTGGAGGCCCTTCCCCCAGACAGACGCTATCCCTGCTCCTGGGCTGACTCACAACTGGCTGTACAATGATGCCTCATGCCAGCAGAAAGTGAACAGGAGGCCCCAGAGGCACAAGACAAAACCAGACAAGCTGAGAGCCCAATAAAAGTTTTATTGTCAGGCCCCCACTTGGCTTTCTAGAAGTTCTGAAATTTGAACTCAGCCACAGGCAGAGAATGAAAGAATATCCCTGTCTCCTCTTCCCTCGTTCTACCAGCTCCTCTGGGTCCCACCTGCCACCAATGGCCAGGGACAGGGAAAGAAAGAGGCACTGGGAGCCAGGAGGAGATCCTGTCTCACTGCATTTTCATAGCACTTGCTTACAACTCAGTCCTCCCCAGCTCTCCAAGGTCTAGCCTGGTGGTCCTGTTTTTCATGGCCTGTCCCTCCAGTGGTCATCCCCTATATGGTGTGACCCATTGGGTAACAGGTACTTAGGTGGCCTTGATTTCCATAGTACAGTCTTCTGGTTTGTCCATCCTTCATGGCTAGACTCACTGGAGGGTCCGTCTTTGGAGGCTTTATCACTGGGGGTCTGGCCCTTGGGTGGTTTTGTTCTCCAGAGATCCTGGCCGCCACACTCTGGCCCTGCCAGGTCACATCCCAGCTGATGTGGTCCTCTGAGAGGTCTGACTTTCACAGTCCAGTTCTTTGATAATCAGGCTCTTGGTAGTCTGGCCCTCTGGGAGACTTGTTCCAAATAGCCGGCTCCTCTGGGACTGTGAACAGCTGAGTTCTAGCCTTCTCACAACAATGGCTCCTGGGTTTCATCAGATGCAGGCAGGTCCCTATGGAGGCCTGGTCTTTGCGATCTGGTTCTTTGGTGTGTTTGTGCCCTGTGGACCGACTGTCTCACGGTGTAGGCTGCTGTGATCCAGTCTTCCTGTAGCATGGTTCCCTGTACTTGACTCCAGCAGTAGGTCTGTCGGTGCTGGACAGACTTTCAGGGGATTTTTGGGGCTGTGACTTGACCCTCCTGCAGCAGTGATCCAAATAGCCAAGCTCTTCAGGGGTCCTGTCTCTGGAGGACTGCTCCTTCAGTGGTGGGGTTGCTTGTGTGGGGGCCACCTCACAGACAGTGGGCCCATCTCTGATCTGGCCCACTGCTGGGGAGCTCAGTGTTTGTTTGAGAATCAAGTACTGTTGGGAGAAAGGACAGACACTGTACCAGGCATGCCTGCTGGGCCATGGCAGCAGACGTCTCCCTCCCCCAGCCCTCAATGAGCAGAAAGGACGCTGAGTCAGTGCCTACCTCCTTACGACTATTGATGGCCTGTTGCAGCCACAGCAGTTCCATGGCCAAGTGGCTGCGGAGCTGCTGGACCTGCTGGAGCTCCAGCTGACTGTAGGCCCGTCTTGGATCTGTGGCTTCTGCGAAGGAGGAGGGACGGAAGAAAGGAAGGAAAAAGAGCTTTGAAGGGTAAACACTGGGCACAGTCCTAGTCTTGGAACCTTGGCACCCGCCCCTACTCATGTGTTGCCCCTAAACCAGGAGGAGGGAAGAAGGCAGGGCTCAAGGATGAAGTTTATCTAACACAAGTCTTGCACTTTTCAGGTAGAGAAGCTGAGGCCCAAAGAGGATCAGGCTTGCCCTAATCTGGGCAGAGAACTACCTGAGTTCCCCATCCTTGAGTCTCTGGTCTCTTCCTGATTGGGTTTCCTGGTTGTCACGCTCTGCTCAGCCTCAAGTCCAGAGCTGTCATCTTGGCAGGGAAGAGTTCCTGAATTTTCTGAGCTGTCCCCTGCTTTCTTCAGCACTGTCTCTTCAGACTCTTTCCATGGAAAATGGTTCCCTCGATCCTTCTCTGGATTTGACACCCTCTCTCCTGCTTTCCAAGTCTGATGGGATTTTACTTTCTGAGAAATCAGTCAGAGAGATAGGAAAGCCCAAGTTAACCTCCTCCATGTATCCAGGCATCAACATCAAGTAGGCAAGTTAAGGAGTGGGTTGTGAGGTGGTGAGTCTGCTGCCTCTTCCAGGAGGTTAAAGCTGGAAGCGAGTTCCACCCAGGAGAAAGCAGGAGGGTGTGTTACACTATTTCCTTGAATCCCTTGCCCAGTCCCTTCCTCCTCCTCCCTTGTCCCCCTGAGGCATGCACTACCTTTGGGAGAAACTGGGGCCGGGGAAGCCAGCCCTCAGTCCACTGCACCATGCTCAGGTCACCCTCGATCTCCTGTACAGTAGCTTCATACTCAGCTCGCAGACTCTGGAACTGACGTCGAACTAAGAATCCCCGGATACAGGCCTAGTGTGGAGAGTGAGGGGGAAAGAAGGTCCTTAACACTACAAGAGAAGGACCATCTTGAGGCTTTCTCCTGGGCAGATCATCCTGGTCGTTTAAAGAGGGCACAACCACATAGAGAAGCTTGGTGGCTAATGGGGGGTATGGATCTCTACTTCAACCAAGGCCTTCCCGCCATTTCCCTGATCCTTGCAGGAACTGAGGTGGGAGTGGGGGGCACGTGTCGGACGACCACAGCATTCTTCCGGGCGGTGGGGGAGTGGGTCAGCATCTTTAGAAGTTGGCACGCGGGTAGCTCTCATCTTACTCGAAGGACCCAGTCCTAGAGCTCCTGAAGGGATATCAATCAGGCACCCTACACTTCCAGCCTCGCACCTGCAGAGTCGACACCTTCCGAAACAACTGCTCAGCCTCCATTTCCGAGCCAACTGCCGGGCGCCTGGTCAGTGCGTCATTAGCCCGCGCCTACCTTAGCGCTCCAGAGCCCCGCCTCCACGGTCTCCACAGCAACCATCCGTCTCATCCCAGCTAGAAGCGTCTTCTTAAAGGGCTCCTCTGTGTCCTACTGCCCGCGCTCCTAAATTCCCGCTTCAGATCCCACCAGAGCGGGATTGCCCAACCAAAGTGGGTTGCAGACGGGTGTCACCGCAGAGAGGCCCAAGGAGGACAGAGGTCACAGAGCCGCTTGCTTTCTTTAAAAAAACATTTTTTTTCACTTTATTTGTTTTGAGTTTAATTCCATCTGTTGCCCCCCTACCCATAGCACCTGGGGGGCCATTGAATACCCTCCCGAGTCCGTAAAAAGTCACAGTTTGAAAGGGATAAAAAGGGGGCAATCTGGGCCTTGGTCAGACGCTTACACAGCTGACTGCTCCTCGGGCTCGGCATTCTCCGCCAGGTGCAGTTTCTGTCTGTACCAGTCAAGGACTGTGACGCTTGGACCTCAGTAGTCCCTCCTACACCCCGCCCACTTCCCATTCTGCACAGGCTTAGTTACGCTGTGTGCAAAGGGGCGGGGTGAGGGTCTGGGGAGTCGGTGGTCCGAGGCCGCAGTCTCTGCCTGTTATGTTGTCCTTGGCAGGTCGTGTGCTCATCGTTCTTGATTCAGATCTGACCTTCTAGTCACAGGAGCTGGTGGACCCATGAGCCACACCGTAGCAGGTGTGTGTGCGCATGTGTTTGTTGTGTGTGTGCTATTTCCCACTGAGGACTACTAGATGGGGAAGTAATCCAAAATTAGTCAAAACAATTGCTCATTGCTGAGGAAGACAAGCTTTGCCATGATGTCAGCTAGTAAACTTGAAAGGATTTTAATGTATTTTCTGTAACCACCTTATTCCTAATACTTGGGAAATTCCTCTGCACTCCTCTAACTGGGCAATTTGTGCCTAATTCTGACTCAATAGGACTAAAAGGTGTGGATATGTTGGTTGTATGTGAGTAATCTGAGAAGGTAAAGGGGAAGGAAACTGACTCCATCTCTGGCACACACACACACACACACACACACACACACACACACACACACACTGCCTGTAACCCTAGAAAGGATACATGGAATTGCTTAGATCTTCCAGCTGTCAACAGAGAGAAAGGGAGGTTTCTGTCAAGAGGGGTACCAGTTTAAACTCCAGATGCTCTGGGCCATAATCTGCTGGGGATTGAGGGCCCCAGATCTGTTGGATCCATCACCCCCATCTTTTCATTTGGGGGCCAGGAGTTGGCTTGGGAACATGTGCCTCTCCTCCCCACCCCCCACCCCCAATCCCACAGCAACCAAAGCACCCAGCTCTGACCCACATTGCTAAGCAGTTGGTCCAGGTTTCGGTCAGCCATCGTCTTCTTCTGTTCCTCAGGCAGCCCCTCAGTGACTCCGTCTTCCTCCTCCTCTTCTTCCTCCTCCCCACACACATCCAGGCTGAAGTGTAGCCGGGCCAACTTCTCTTGCATCTCCCGCACGTGTTCTAGCTGCTCGAAGGAGCATTCCTTCCCTGGACAGCCCTTGTCTGAGCCGTGGGATCTAGCTTGGGACCCTGCCTCCAGCCCCACCCAAGAGATTACCCTTCCAGCCCTCCCCAGATACCCTCCAGGCTTAGTCCCCTGGACTTACCAAAGGCTTGCAGCCGACCTGAGTGGAAATCATTGAGTAGGTTTAGCAGTCCCCCCTCCATCTCATAGACATCGGTCACCTCAGTCAGGAAAGAGTGTTGCAGTGGGGTGCCTGCTGAGCCGCCCCCACCTCCGGCCAACACTGGGCGGCATTTCTCCTTGCCTACCCTGGGTGGGGTGGGCATGATCATGGTCACAGACTGGGGGAGAGCCAGGCACCCCTGAGGTCTTTTGTGCCATCTCACTATGCATTAATGTGTCTGCCCATCCACCTCCAACATCAGTAGATGTCTTTTCTTCTGACCCTGCACCGGACACTCAGTGTAGTGATTTGGTGGAGGTAAGAAGTCAAAAGAAATCTCTTTCTGACAATGACACTTCTGGAAGGAGGCTGTTATTAGATTCTTGTCTGAGGCCATCATCAGACTCCTGTAAGCCTAGGGAAGTCAATTGTCTACCCGGCATGAGTCAGTTTGTTCCATGGGGCCTAGTACCACTTTATTACCATCAGGACCATTTTGTTGTTAGTTTCCTTCAAGTAGATTCCACCTCATGAAGACCCCATATGTGTCAGAGTAGAACTGCTCCATAGGGTTTTCAAAGTTAGAACCTTTCGAACCAGGCCTGTCTTTTGAGGTGCCTTTAGGTGGGTTCGAAACACCAAGCATTTATACTGTGCCAAACAGAGAATCCTAGAAGTAGATTGTTGTTGTTAAGAGTCAGTTCCGACTCACAGTGACACTGTATAGGCTTTCCATGGTGCAGCTGGTGAGCTTGAACCGCTGACTTTGCAGTTCAAACCAACCTTGCAGTCCAGCACATTAACCCACAGCACCATACCAGGACGCCGTAAATTGATTATTACCGCCAAAATAGAATTTTGGAGATTTAATCTGAGATTTCCAAGGAGCGGTGACTGGTGAAACCCTATACAGGATCGCTATGAGTCAGAACCGATTCCACGGCACTGAACAACAGCAATCTGCAATTCATGTAGTAATGGAACCCTTACCGCCTCTACTGTCTCCTCATAGATAAATGCAGTCATTGCAAAGGTCCATTTCCCTGACCGTCATTTGCTTCCTTTTCACCATTGGCTAGCAGGTATGTTTAATCCCCAAAGTGTGTGGCAATGAATATAGGAAGTTTAAAATGTGCCATGTAATGAGAAAAGCTTAGGCTACAATTGGTATACCGTGGCAGTAATGAGTCACACTCTGATGTGGACTGCCTAATTATATCCTATTTTGTTGTTGTGTGCCAAGTTGGTTCCAAATTCTAATGACTCCAAGACAGAGGAGAATTGCCCACAGGGTCTCTGAGACACATAGCCAAGTCTCTCACATGGTGACTGGTGCATTAGAATGCCCAAACTTTTGGTTAACAGATGAGTGCTTAACCAGTGTGCCACTAGGGTTCTTACATCCAATTTTGTTGTTGTTATTAAATGCCTTCAAGTCAGTCCTGACTCATAATGACCCTGTATAGGGTTTTCAAGAAGCAGCTGATGGGTTTGAACCACTACCAAGGAAGTTCTGAGAACCACAGGTGGTTTGGTGACCCTGTAGTGTCCAGTGCTTATCCTACAGCACCACACCAAAACTCCTATAAACTATTTTACCCCTCCAAAAATAACTGCCTGGTCCCCTTCTACTGAACTGCTTTGAGTTCACCACTGCCCTTAAGATAACCTAGAAGACCCTTCCAGTGTGGCCTCCCACCTGAAAGGCCTTTCAGGTAGGCAGTGTGCAAAGTCACAGGGAAAGACAATGATTTCATTCAAAAAGAATTGAAGAAAAAACCCACACACTGTCTTTGTTGTTAAATGTTGTGGAATCGATTCTGACTCATAACAAACCCTGTTTAGGGTTCCCAAGGAGCTGCTGGTGGGTTTGAACTGTGGTTCACAGTCCAGTGTTGATCCTACAAGGCCATACCAGGACTCTACATTGTTTTTAGTAGAAGACAAACATGGGTGCCTTATAGGATAGGATGCAAATTCCTAGTTATTACATAGATAAATAAAACTGAGCAGAGAAGTCAAATTGTATACCCTGGTTTCCCCTCCCCATATCCTGACCCCTAACACTCCAGGGTCACCAAACCACCTGTGGTTCTCAGAACTTCCTTGGTAGTCTCTTTTGTCCATACAGGTGCCAGGTGGGCCTCTCCTGTCTGCCCAGTAGCTGTGTCTGACTCGCTGCCTTCTCTGAGGTGTAATGATCTGCATCTCTCCCCTCAAACTTGAGGACAGGGACTGGTTTTGAGCATCTCTAAGAAGTTCCCTGAGACATATTTCCAGCTGAGGCCAGCCCAGGGGGGGCATCAATTGTTGCTTAATAATTGAAGACAGGAACACCCACTTGCCTTCCTTTCCACAGGGCTCAGCTAGAAGCTGGGGTCCCTCCCTCCCTGCCTGTGCTCACCTCTTGAATTTGGACCGCTGTTTGGGAGATGGCAGGTGAGGGAGTCCCAGGGCCAAGGAACCACTGTGGCTGGTGGGCACAGGGACCCTGCGTAGTGTGCCTGGGGCCTGCGTTGATTGGGTAAGGCAGGGCTTGGGGCTTCTCTTCTTCTTTTTGTCATCCATTGGGTGCTGGTTGCCTCTCAAGTCCTAAGAGGGATGTAGTCCCATTGAGACAGTTACGGGTCAACCCTTCACCTGGTAACCCCTGAGAACTGCAAAGGAACAGAGCCTTGTGATCTTCTAAAAATCCTCACAACTGTCCTCTCATTGGTACCATGGAGGAGGCAGGGTCAGATGTCAATGCCTGCTTGTGGGGTCATGGATGTGCATTTGAAGGACCTTCCCAGTGTCATTCCAGGTCCCCCTCCTGTCCTCTAGCCTTAACAGGAAAACCGAGGTCCTGTCTGAAAGGGTGGGGTCAGACACTATTATCCTGCTGCTGCTGTTGGGGTTTCCGGTCCCTGAAACCAAGGGCTGGCAGAGGAAATAGGATGCTGGGAGGGAGAGACACGGTGGATTTGAACTGGCAAGAGCCCTCATGAGGATTAGGGGTATTTTAGCTAGGCCCATTGTATTTATTAACTCCCACCTCCCCTAGGCAGACAATGAGAAACCATCAGTAGAGAAAGTGACCAAGTAGAGAGAGTGGCTGGGGGGTACTTGAGAGGCACCAGTGTCTAATAGTAGCCATCAGGAAATGAGTAATAGAGGAAGCCCAGGCACACAGGGCAGAGCTCGGAGTGGCTTTTTCTCCCACAAACACCAGGGAACTACCAGAGTAGTCTGGGACTTGCTTTCGAGCAGCTTCACCCTTCTCTTCCTGCCCAGAAGGTCCCTGCTCCATTTACAAACTGTGAGCCTCAGCTGCTGCCAAAGTGCGGTGGGTGGTTGGCAGCTGGCTGCCTTTGGCCTCCAACAATGGCTGATCTTGTGGCTGGCACTGCCCAGCCATCCCTAGTCCAGCCCTGGCCTCAGTGTTTCCGATCTGCTGCGATCCTCTTCTGGAGGCACAAGGGTCTTCCAGAGTGGATTGCTCCAGGCTGGTGCCATCTGGCCTGACTATTGCACTCTGGGATGGTGGTGGCAGGGGGGGGGGGTGGGGGGTGGGAAGGTGGGGAGGTGGTAGACTGGCATTTAAAGCTGGCTGGCACTGAATGGACCTGGGGGTGTGGTGGAGGGGTGACAGAAGCCACATCACCACCCCTCCCTACAGCAGCTTTTAGGACTCCATACAAGAAAACTAGAGCAGGTGCCCTAGTTTCCCAGGAAGGACTGGGGCAACCCAGCGTCTGCTTCCCACACTAGATCTCTGAAGCCAAGCCAAGTGTCAAATGGATCACTCAGCTCGAGTCTATTCGGAAAGCAAGCCTCAGATCTGTGTCATCCCCACACCCACCCCCCAACCAGGCAACTGACCTGGAGGCTTGGGGTCTGGAGCAATGATGCTTCGGTTCGGTTCCGGTTCCTCCAGCCCTCAGCTCTCTCCTCCCAGGAATCCTGTTCGAGTGAAGCTAAGCTGGCGGGAGGTAATTTGCATTTAAAGGGAAAGTGACTTTCCTTAGAGCTCGGGAGGAGTAAGAGGTGTGGAGCATCCCCACACTTATTAGGCTATTCCTCCTGTCTGCTGGAACTAAGGTGACCCTGTTGGTGTGTGGTGGTACTAGAAAGACATTTTCACTTTTCAATCAGTTTTGTTTGTACAGTCCTTTACAAAATGGTGGTGTCTTTGTCAAAAGAATAGAGAGACAGAGAGAAAAGAGGAGCGCAACCATCTATTGAGTTCCAGGTCCTTTAATAAGCACTTTGTTGTTGTTGTTGTTGTTGTTATGTGCCGTGGAGTTGGTTCCGACTCATAGCGACCCTGTACAGGGTTTCCGAGGCTGTAAATCTTTACGGGAGCAGAAAGCCTCATCTTTCTTCTGGAACAGCTGGTAGTTTCGAGCTGCTGACCCTGAGGTTTGCAGCCCGATTTGTAACCACTACGCTACCAGAGCTCTTTTAATAAACACTTTATGTACATTTAATCCTCATACCAAGTCTGAAGGAAGATGCCGCCATCACCCCTTACTAAAAGGGCCCTACACTCAGCTCCTTCCTTGCAACCAGCCAGAAAATTTGCCAAAAGTAGGTGAGGAGTAGGAAGACTCTGCCACTTCAAAAGGGTGGGTTTTGAGACCCTCTGAGGGAAACATGAAGGTCTGAACCTCAGAGATGTCCTGACCTCATCCAAGAGTGCCTGATTTGTATTTTGTTTTTTACTTTTTATTGTGAACTGAATGAAGGTTAATAGCCAAGATCATCAGCTTTATACTCAACAGCCTGATTTGTTTTTAACGTTGCATCTCCATGGTTTTGGCTGCCATTTAAAAGTATGTCCGTCTTTCTGAGAGTAATACCACTTTCCTGGAGTCCTGGTGTGGCATTGCAGAATAAGTACTGGACTGCTAACTGCAAGGTGGGTGGTTCAAACTCACCGGCTGCTCCTTGGAAACCCTATACAGGGTTGTTATGAGTTGGAACTGACTTGATGGTGGTTAACACCACCACACAACAATAAAAAGTGATGTTTGTTAAGTGCTATTGAGTGGATTCCAACTCATAGTGACTTTGTAGAGGGTTTCTAAGGAATGACTAGTGTTTGAGCTGCCAACCTTGTGGTCCAGTGCTGATCCTACAGTGCCACATTTCTTCTATGGTGAAGTGACAGTCCCCCAGTTCCATTATTTTACTCCCTCCAGACCCCCAGACCTAGACAGAAGTAGGGGAGCACCAGGTCAGAGAGAAGACCTTGAGTTTCCGGTGCCTGATGAGAGCCCAGGAGGGAAACCTGAGCTTTGGAAGCTAGGCTGCTGTGCAGCCAGAGGCCAAAACAGTGGGCAGCTATTTAAAGACCTGGCAGAGACTGTTGACTCAGGTCCCCAGAACACTATCTGATGCCATAGGATGCCCAGCTGTCTCAAGTAACTCCCCCTGGGCAATGTGCACAACCACCTGACTAGAAGAGGAAGTGGCTTCCCTGGGTCTGGGCCTCCAGCTGAGGTGGGGACAGATGGACACTACTTCCTCAAGCACCTACTCAGGACTCTTTTCCATGTATTTGCAGCACCTAGGATGCTCCAGAAGGGGCAACATTCATTCAGGACTTTGTTAATAACCAAGAGGCTGGAGGGAGGGGACTGCACCTTCCTAGCAGAGCAGCAAGAGGGTGGCACCATGGTTCCCTCAGCAAAGTGGAGGACAGGCCAGATGCTTCTCTGAGGTTCCCAGCCTCAGGTGTTTCCTGGGAGGAAACTTTGTTTGGAGCTCCAGGAGTTGGTGCGGCATCTCCACCTCTTTCAGAGGATCATTTACTGGCAGTACGTACAATGATGGTCCTTCATTAGGACCCTGGCCATTAGGGGTATAGCCTCTCTTGGGACAGATTGATCCTATTATTGTGTAGGCTTGGCTATCTATGGGTGCCTTCATGAAGGGAATCTTGGCTATTCATGCCCTTTGTTGGACATTCTTATGTGCCAGGCCAACTCAGGCCCCACAGAGAACAGTATGATGTCTCCATACAGAGGCCTCTGTTCTTAATACCATGCTCAGAGGTGAGTAAATAGAACTGCAAGAAACCATCCAATTTTGAAGTACACAGGGGAAATGGTCCTACAAAGGAATGCATGTCACAGGTACCTGGAGATCCCCTGGGCATCCCTTTGGGTGGGCAAGTCTCAAAGGAGGCTACCCATGGCAGACAGCCCCAGACAGCAGGGCTGTGTCCTGTCAATCTGGAACTGTGTTGGCCTATGCCGGACTCCTTGGTCTCCCTTTCATCACCTTCCCTTGTGGACTTACCAAATCCCTGTTCAAACACCCTCAGCGGCTCTCCTTACCTTCTGGATCAACTTCAAATTCCTTAACCTAGCACAGAGGGGCATCCCCTCCTGTGTATCTCCATCCCCAGGTGAGCCACTTCCCAGTGAAGTTGTCACATTGTTATCTACCTTCTTCCAGTGGAGGAGCTTTGGAAACAAAGGATTAAGGATTGGGCTGCTAACTACAAGGTTAGTACTTCAAACCCACCAATTGCTCTGCAGAAGACAGATGAGCTATTTGTTCCCATTGTCTCAGAAAACTTAAGGAGTTCTATTGTCCTATAGGTCCTGTTGTGGCACTGTGGGTTAATGAGCTTGACTGCAAGGTCCGCGGAAACCCTAGAGTAGTCCCTATGAGCTGGAACGAATTTAACAACATAGGTCACTATGTCAGAATTAACCTAATGGCAGTGACTTGGGTTTTGGTTTTCTGACACAGAAGGCCCTTCCTTCCTGGTACCCAGCCCTCTCCCCTGGCTGTGCCCCACCACTGCCACCCATTTTTTTGTTATAAGAACCTGTATCTCATTAGACTTTGAGACCTAAGGACAGGGACAATTTCTGACTGAGGGTATTCACAGTCCTCTGATGTCTATGAGTTTCAGACGGACTTAGACTTTGTCAAGGGCTCCACCAGATGACTTGCCAAGTCTGTGGTAGGAGAGCAAGTTATAAGGTAACAGGACACTAGGGCAACTCTGAACAGATCCTGAGATCTGCAGCGGTGTGTCTGCTAACCAGCACATGAGCACAGAAGGGACTCGAAGGGCCCAGAAGCACCAAATAACCACACAAGACAGGCAGACATGAGTAAGGCAACAGACTATTTAATGTGGTTTAAAATACACCAAAATCAACCCCCTGGGTGTTGTGAATACCAAAAGGAGTAAATGAGCTGTCAGCACAGCATCAAACAAGTCTGGGTGGCCAGGTGAGAACATGAGTTATGGGGACAGAAGGCAGCCCTCTAAACAGAGCTTGAGGAACAGCCAGGTGTCTAGCTGTCCCTAGGGTGGCCACCTCTGCACTGTGCAAGGCAGGAAGGCTGGAGCAGCAGCTGGACAATCAGCTCAGTAGGCCTTAGCCCTCCCAATAGACACCGGGGCAGCCAGACCTGCCTCATGGTCAGCAGCCGGTGGCAGGAATGGAGGGGAGAAATAACCATTTTTACAGAAATAACATTTTCATACACAAAGTGCCTGAACTCAGCCCATGGTCCAAAACCTCATGGAAAACAAAAGTGCTGCTAACACCTCTCAGAATGTGGTGTACACAGAGCTCTCAGCTGGACAAGTCTCAGTTAGCACAGCCAGGAGCTCTGAGCTAGGCAACACCTATGGTCCCTGGAGGAAAAAACAAGCCAAGAACCCTACACAGAACAGCTCTTGGTCCAAAAACAGAGGTCACATGCATGGTCCCATCTGAGTAATGAAGACACTGCCCTTCCTTCATGGAGAGGCCACCCGTTCCATCTGATCCAGGCTAACTTTGGAAAGTAGAACAAGCAGAGCAGCTGTAGTAAAGGGTGAGATTTGATTAATGGAGAGAAAGAGTAAGGACCCCCCCGCTCCCACCAGCTCCGATGGCTGCCTGGATGCCTAGAAATCCTTAATTGGAACAGAGAGCTGGTCTGCTTTGTCTGGGGCCACCTGCCCATCAGGATTCCACAATAGCCCAACCTAGTCCCACTGGCTGCCGTGCTGTCCAGCTTCCCACTCCGCACTGGGCTCCAACAGACCCATCTCCTCCCCTGGGCTTGAAAGAGGTAGCTGAAATGAGGCAGGCAATTCAATATTTGGGCCACCACAGACCTTTCTGTTCTCTTAAAGGGGGCAGGTGGGTGCTTCTGCCTTGCCCTGGCACCTCCTCATCCCCGTGAATGCCATGTGGGGATGGTAGCTCTTGTCCCTCATCTAGGCACAGGGGCTAGGGGGAGGAAGACAGGTTCAGGGACAATTCTCAACACAAGGATTTCAAAGGGACAAGAAAGACCTTGGGAAACACTTCCACAGAAGGGCAGCATCTCAGCCAGAAAAAGGAAACAAATGTGAACACTCAGACCGACTGCTGGGTGATCCTGATACAAATGAGGACCAGTGGGGACTAGCAGGAAACTCAGCAGCGCTTTAGTGTACCTGCCATGGGTGCAGGAGGGCACATGGTCCCCTCAGTGGCCATATCTGGTCCAAGTCATAACATGGTTCAGGAAAATGAATTATTCTTCATGAATCCATGGATCTGAGGGGTTACGTTAAAGGTTGAGTGGGCTAGTGTGGAAATTGATGTGCTGAGGCCTGGGTGAAGATAGGGCAGAGTCCTGCTTCCAGATGCAAAACTCACTTTGCTGTTCTAGAAGACTGATTGGTAAAAACAATAAAAACTGAAACCCAAAACTGGCTAATACTTTGTCAAGTTTTCAGCCAGCAAAACTTCCAGAGTATAAAACAATGATCAACAAAAATGGCAGAAGCCATTCTGTGGCTAAGTGTGAAGGATCATTGTCATTCCCTTGGATACCATTTGGGGACTGGTCTAGGGGCTCCCACACTGGAAGGTGCGCAGTTCTATGGCAGACTTGCCCCAGCTTTTATTTTTTGGGTAAAGAGGTACCATCAGATGTAACCGGGGCAAGTGGAAGGTCTGCACATAGGCGGTGGTGGAGGGGCAGGACGCAGAGTTGGGCCTGGGGCCCAACACCTGCTGTGAGCAGAGAGGGGATGGACTCAGGCAAGCTTGTGGCAAAGCTATCAGAAGCCCTATCCATTCTCTCCCTACAAGGACTCTGGTCTCACAAAACCCAAAACCTCAGCACCAATCTGGCACAGGAGCCAGGTGTGAGGCACTGGAGGCCAGGAACCCAGGCTCCACTGCTTAGCACCCCTCCCCTTCTTCAGCAGATCAATGCAAACACTGTCAAATGTAACAAACCTTCAGAAAGAATCCTTTGGGTGATCTCTTGTCAATCATTTGTGCAGGCTAATGAGGCACCTGTGAATAAGGCTACTGAGAAGCAGCATTGGCCTGACCTGACACTACAAGAGGGCGGGGAAAGCAGTGTCCAGCAGGTCCCCTACCAGCATCATCCCAGAACCACTCTCCAGGTCCCTTTGTCTCTTGATCTAATTACTAGCTCTGTGTCTCTTGTCCGGGCTCTGCCTGGGATCCCTTTGATAGAGGAGCCAGGTGAGCCCTGCTCACAACAGATACAGTGTCACTTGTCACAAGCCCCAAAGGGCTAGGAGAGGCCTGAGCCTCAAACCTCGTAGGAGAAATGCTCAAGTCATTCATCGTGCTTGCTCACGGTGCTAGCAGCCACAGCTGACAGCTTCTCTTCAGCTCCCAGAAGAGCCACTGACCTTATCTATACATACCCACCCCCAATGCAAGCCCACTGTACACTTACAGATATAAATGTATGAGGTCTTGCACATATGCCACATATACGTAAAACGGACCCATAAAATCCAAATTGCAAAGTGTCAAATGGCAGCCAGGCCAGAGTACCTGGGCCCAGCACTGGACTGTTTCTTGGAGGGAGCCTTGTGTGGGTCAGGCTTGGCTGGGCTGGTGCTCCCTTCCCAGCATGCCCAAGTGCCAGGCTCTATGCGGTGGTGGGGCTGGGCTCCCAAGGCCCTGTCTGGCCCGTGACTTCTGTGCTCAGTGCAACAGGACAGCAGGCAGCTTCTGTGGCCCTTGGAGAGTTGGGTACTGGGGCCATGAGCCCCTCACCACCCTGTTCGTTGGAGGCAGTGGGAGCATCTGGCCTTCGTTCAGGGCCGCTGTCACTGAGGGAGCCCTGGCCACCTGCACTCAGGTCCTGTACCCTCTTGTTCAGATCGTTACGCTCTGTCTGTAACGCTCGGCACAACTTCTCCAGGCGCTGGATTTTCACCTGCAGGCCCTCCAGCTCCTTGTCCCTGAGTGTTTTCTAGGGAGAGAAATGGGAGCTTGAGTGCCATCAGTCTCCTACCCAACACACTAACAGGAAGAAAACACTCTATAAGCTGTAAGCCCTGGTGGTACAGCGGGTGACACGCTGGGTTGCTAACTGCAAAGTTGGCAGTTCAAATTCACCAACTCTGCGGAGGGAGAGATTCTTTTCTCCTGTAAAGAGTGACAGTTTTGGAAGCCCTAAGAGCAGTTCTACTCTGTCATAGAGAGTCACTCTGAGTTGGAATCAACTTGATTGCAGTGGATTTGATTTTTGGTTTTAGCAAGGCTGGGAGCAGACAAGAATGAAAAGGCTGGTAACTTTTCGACTTGGCTGTCAGTTGGCAGCAGTGTAGTCCAGAAAGAGGTACGGCTTAGCAGGGCCTGCATGCAGTCAGTGCTCATCCCGTCCGCTCCTACACCTCCAGCCACAAAGCCTCATTATCAGAGCTGCTCTACAGATGCCCCTTACCTTTTCCACTCTGGCTTCCTTTCTCCCATTTCCTCCCTCTGCAGACCTACCCCTGGGCACACCACCTCCCCAGGAGGTACCCATCGGTACCTTTGGCCTTGATGACTTGGACTCACATAAGTACAAGTGCCAGTTCCATCCGGGCGAGCTGCATCACTTACTGGTAGAAGTTCTAGTAAAGAGTATGCACCACTGCCACCCCCTCAGCCCAGAGCTGCAGTCCTCACTCAGCTCACCTCTTCAGCCATCTCCAGCAGGGCCTTGTTGCTGCTTTCCCACCGGGACCGGTACATGGTGGTTTCTTTTTCCAGCTTCTTGATCTTCTTAGTCATCTGGGTTACATGACAGATGGAAAAAAATGGTCAAGGCACCGGCCTGCCCAGGTGTCCCGAGGAGGCAAGGCATCACAGGGCATAGTCAATGCCTTTGTGCTACGGCAAGAAGTCTCCCCACCAATAGTAACAAGAAATGACATTAGTCCTCCATGACATGTGGGCGATCCCTTCCACTGGCCCCATCCTTGGTGTCAATTACACACTGAGCGTCATAGCAGCTCCCTGAGCTCCTTCAGGGAAGGAGCTTCCTGAAGACAAGCACAGTGTTCTGCTCTGATGAGGCTGCCTGTTCCCCAACAGCTAAAGTGGCCTGGACCATGTTACCTTTTCCATCTCCTGTTTGAACGTGGTGAACACCTCACTGCTTTTGGAAAGAGTGTTCTGGAACTCTTCAAACTTCTCTGTATATAGGGCAAGCTGGGTGAAACAGAAGTTCAGAGTTGACTGGGTTTCTCTGGAGGCACATCTTGTCAGAAAACTCAGACCAAGCTTTGGCTCTTTGAACTAACAATGCTATTAAGATACCATTTTTAAAAAAACAAACACTGCATCTGGAATATAATCCAAAATGCTATCTCGGCAATGAATGTGGGGTGGCTTCTGTTTTTCCTTTTGTGTCTATTTCCAAACTTTTCAAGTATAATGCACTTAATGAAACAGCTGTGCTAGGAGTGAAGCCCTCCAGGCTCACCTAGCAACCTGGTCATGACCACACAGGTGCTGGGCAGGTCTCAGGAGCAAAGGCTCAGTCAAGGTCCCACAGCAGTCAAGGGCAGAGGGGACACTTCCCTCTCCCCGGGAAGCAGCACAGCAAGGGGACTTGGGACGCAGTAGTTTTCTTGGTCTCACCTGCTGCTTCAGGTGGGTCTCTTGCTGCTTCATCAATTCACACATCCTCTGCGACTCCACTGCCTCCTTGAGGAGCTGTTTCCAAGACAGACGCCCCAGGGGTCAGCCCCTTTGAGTCACAAGCACAAGAACCCACTGAGGGCTTCCTGCTCTCAAAGGAAGCAGTGTCCCCCATCTGGCTGGGTAGCAACCTCTCCAACCCACCTTCTCTCACCCTACCCCCTCCTGCCTAGCACCCGAGGCTCACAAAGTCCTTTTCCCGCTGGTGTCTCTCCTCAGCCTCCTTCAGCATCTCCTGGGCCTGCTGGAGCTTGGCGTCCACCAGCTGCTGCTGCAGGTCCTTGTGCTTGAAGACTTTGTCAATATGCTGCAGGAAAGTGGGGTGGAAGGGGCTGTCTATCAGGAACTCTCTCAGGAAGGTCCACGGCTGCAGGGCTGTCCCATGTGCAGAGACCAGGGCACCCTGCCAAGCTGGAGCATGTGCCCCAATTCCCTGGAAGGTCTGCTCCCCATCCTCCCCTTCTCTCTCTCCTGCTGAGTCAGTCTTGGGTAATCCCAAGTTAGCCAAGCATTAAATACATACAAACTTCTATCCCCAGCACAGGTCACCCCGAGGCTGGCAGCTCTCACTTTTGCAGACCCTGACTCCCTTGAAAATGGGAAGAAAGGGCCTAAATTATGCCTCCACCAGTAAAACAGCTTGGCTCTGTTGGTAGATATTTGCCTTATCTGTAGATAAAGATGAGACATGTGCACCCCGAGGAACATAGGCTGTCCTAAGTGCAGGTGGAGGTGTGGAACCTGGACCAGATGAAAGAGTAAGGATGGCAAGAAGGTACTAGGCTAAATGCTCCTTCAAAATTGAAATCAACTGGACTCACTGAAATAAGGGATGTGAAGAATTGTACTTATTTTGGGGAAGGGAAGGTGGATTGGTGAAAGGTCCAGTTTGGGATGTGATGAATTCCAGATGCTTGTGATCTGAGGTCCAAGGTTCAGAGAAGGGCATGATGCGAGTATCAGAAACTGACTGAGGAGGGGTATAAAGAAGAAGTAGAGTCCCTTTCCTTCTCCCCCGGGTAAGGGGTGTAGCTGGGGGAAGTCCAGCTTTTAGAAGCCTCACTCTGTGGTGACTCAGGACATTATCATATCTTTCGAACCTGAGGGACATGAACCAAGTCAATCCTCCTCAAACCAAGTATGTCACAAGCAGCCTTATTCCCAGAGGATGAAGTAGTCAAGGATGGGGGTGAGTCAGGAGAGTGTCTCCAAGTTGCCAGACTGGCCTGTGAGCTAAAGAGGGCAGGGTGCGGTCCCTATCACCCACTACAGTACTCCCAGGGCCTAGAAAGGAGCCTGGCCTAGAGCAGGTCTGGGGCATGTATCTGCTGAGAGAATACAGATCCACTCCTCTGCCTAGCCCAGGAAGGAAGCTGCGATTCTCCCCTAGCATAGTGGTTATGAGTCGGGCCGTTAACCTTAAGGTCAGCAGTTTGAGACTACCAGCTGTTTCGGGGTGGGAGTGAGGGGGTGGAAGGTGAGGCTTTCTGCTCCTATAAAGATTTATAGGCTCAGAAACCCTATGCAGGGTCACTAACCACCACCACCACAGTGAGGAAACAGAGGCCTGGGCAGCCAAGTGACTGGCACATGGTGCTCAAAGCAGCAGAGGGATCTGAGTGCCAGGGTAGCAGCTGACACCAGCCAAGGGAGTGGCAACCTGCCCCTTCAAGTAGCAGGGATAGCAAAGCAGCCAGGAGTTCGAGAACAGAGTTCCAAAGCCAATCACTGACTACAGGTCCATTCTTTCTCGTGATTCTCAAAAGCTCTGAAAATGGAAATTGCTGGTGTGGTGCTGTGGGTTAATGTGCTGGACTGCAAAGTCAGTCTGAACAGGAAGGTCAGCGGTTCAAGCTCACCAGCTGCTCCTCAGAAACCCTATACATAGTAGCTACAGGTTGGAACCGACTCGACAACAACATAGACCAAACTGAGCTGCACTGCTGAGAGACTACTGATAATCTGTATTTATCCCGCCAGTGTGAATATTAGGTGTTTCACTGCACAACACTAATGTGCCAGATTTTGGAATGCTGTGCCAAGATCCTGTGGACTGTGCTATGCTACGTAATACAGTACATGGACATGATCCCCATTCAAATATCAGGATTATTCTAAATCTCAAAGGGTAGCTGGGCCTGTGGTTTTGGACATGAACCCATGGATCTGTGGCTGGTGGCCAGATGAGCTACTTCTCACCTCAGTTCACCATTTGTATGAGGGGCGAGATGGAGTTGGGCCCTCGCAGTCCCATGGTCAAGAATGCTGTCCGTGGTACTTACCTCCTCACGCAGCTCATACTGCTCAATGAGCTTCTTTAGTCTCTCGGCCAGCTCCATGTTCTCCTGGCGCAGCTTGGAGTTGCGTTCGTTATGCTGTTCCATCTGTAGCTGAATGTCATTCAGCGTCACCTGGAAGTGTGAGGTCACCTCCTTGCGCTTCTCTTCTTCCTCTCGAGCTCTCTGGACACCTTCTTCCTGGGCAGAGAAGTCAGCCCCAGCTCCATCATCCACTCTCCCACCAGCCTCCCTACAGGGATGGTGTCCAGGAACAACCCTCCAGGCTTCTAAATCAAGTGACCAAGCTCCAGGGATGCTGAGCAAGGGGGCTCCTAAGGGAGCCCTCTGCATGGCAAGTGAAAATGACAGGTGAGTTCACGTCGTACAAAACTGCACGAACACGTGTGCCATTTGGAAGCAATTAGAACCTCCTGAAGCTGATTTCCAGATTTCAGATTAATATCCTTGTTTTAATGTGCTCTAGCCTTCTCCCCAGGAGCTCTGGTAGCGTAGTGGTTACGACTTGGGCTGTGAACCGCAAGGTCAGCAGTTCGAAACTACCAGCTGCTCCGTGGGAGAAAGATGAGGCTTTCTACTCCCATAAAGATTTACACCCTCGGAAACCCTGTACGGGGTCGCTATGAGTCGGTTCCGACTCCACGGCACATAACAACAACAACAACAACAGCCTTCTCCCCAAGGAGCTCTGGTAGCGTAGTGGTTATGAATCGGGCTGCTAACCTCAAGGTCAGCAGTTCGAAACTACCAGCTGTTCTGCAGGAGAAAGATGAGGCTTTCTGCTCCCATAAAGATTTACTGCCTCAGAACCCCTGTGCAGGGTCACTATGCGTCGGAACCGACTCCACAGTACTTAACAACAACAGCCTCCTCCCCAGCCCCACTAGAGTAAATCTTAACAGCTCATGAATACCTGGGGCAGGCAAATTTGTGGAGAATTAGGTCCTTAGACACGGCTAGTGGGAGGACACTGCCCCTCACTAAAGGCCATTTGGCAGACTCTTCATACCATTAAAAAAGAACCAGATAACTACATAAACTGCTGTCAAGCCCATTCTGACTCTCTGTGAGCCTATAGGACTATATAGTAGAACTGCCTCATAGGGTTCCTAAATCTGTAAATTCTTACGCAACCAGACTACCCCGTTTTTATCCTATAGTATAAATGTATAGGAGAAAATAAAACATTCCAAAAAATGTTTAAATAAGGTATGAAACAAAAATTTTTTTTAAAAAAGAAAGAAATCTATATGAAATTTTATACGTAGAGAGAAAAATCTAAAAGACTGTAACTTATATCTAAGTAGGTTTAGAATACAGTTGATTTTGCTGTGTAGTGGGGTTGGGAAAGGTGGGAAATTAAATTACCTTTAATTTCTTCTACTTTTGTCACCTCTCAACTCCTCACACCTAACTTTTACTAAACTTATATTTTAAAAAACAAACACTTAGTAGAAAAACCCAAACCAAACAAAACCAACTAGCAAAATACCATATATGAAGGATATCAAAAAGTTTAGGCAAACATTTCATTATCTTTCAATTTCAATCTCCCATTAACTTTTTGATGCTTGCTGTGAGGTTACATGAATATAACCTGGTGCACATGGACACAGCCCGGCTTTAGCCAGGTTTAGACTGAGCAGAACAGCATTCCTGACTGACTAACCTCTTGAGAGATGAGCTGCTTATCAGCTCTGCCAGTGTGGTCAATGCACCGCTGACATTCTTAATACTATTCTCAGCCATTTCAGTATAGACAAACACACTCCCTGATCCTGCTGTTCCCAACCTCCTCCACAGATAACCACCCCCCAGGACTGCTATTTAATTTACAAATACAGAATCCACAGCATTTTGAGGTCTCTTTGTTACAGAATTCTAACGTTTATCTGATCCAATGAAAAAACCAAAAAGAAACCCAGACAAAACAGTTGCTGTCACGTGAACTTTATTCTAACTCCTGACAACCCCAGGTATGTCAGAGTAGAACTGTGTTCCATAAGGTTTTCACTGGCTCTGATATTTTGGAAGTAAATCCCAGGACTTTCTTGCAAGGCACTTCTAGGTGGGTTTGAGCCACCAACCTTTTTGCTAGTACCAAATTCTTCACCATTAGTGCCAACAGGGACCAGTAACACATGCATGCTAAATAGCTCACCAATATTCTGTCTACAATAGGGTATTATGAGGAACATCTATTTTTTTTGTATCATAACTCGGTTTTACTTTTAAAAGGGAAACCCCACCAGATAAGCAGAATACCAAGGAAAACAAAGGGTGTCTACCTTGAGGGAGCGGTTGTGTCGCTGCAGCTCTCGGCACAGGCTCTCGAGCTTGCTTCGGGCCAGGATGGCCTTGCTGTGCTCACCCCGTAGGTGGTCCTTCTCCTGCATCAGCTGGGTCTGTTTCTTCTGCAGGAGCTTCATCTGCTTCTGAGAGTTCCTGTGCTCCTCCAGCTGGGGACAAAAAAGCAGGTGAGTGCCCAGTGGTGCTCTCCCTGATGGAGGTCCCCTGAGGTGGCCTAACCCTTCCAGATCCTCCAAACTCCATCTTTACAGCTCAGGTCACCGGAGCCCTCTCACAGTTCCATTTATGTCTCATGACAACCCACTCAGAGAGGATAAGCCGGGGTCCACAGCCAGCAGATCCAAGAGACAAAGCTCTCAAGACACACCAGATCCCCCAACTCTGGAACTCACCCCTCAAACAAGGCGACTGTTCCCCCTACCTTGTACTCATCAACAGAACCCTGGCCTCAGTTCTTGACCACCTCCACGGACCCTGTCCTCTGGCCCAGCTTAGGTACCTTCCCACAATCCTATCTAGCTCTGTCCAGTATTTTTACTGGACAGAGTATAAGCCACATATGTAAATTTATACTTTCTTAATGGGCATGTTAAAAAAATTAAAGTAGGTGAAATTAATTTTAATACTTATACAATATCCAAAATATTAAAATCTCAGCATAAAATTCTTGTAAAAAAACAAAACTTACTGAGATATTTTACATTCTTCTGCCCTATATCTTAGAAATCCAATAGGTATTTTACATTAGAGCACATCCAAACTTGAACTAGTCAATTCAACTGGCTAGTGGCTACCACAGTGTAGGGAGACCTTGTTATTACTGGGACCTACACCCACCTCCATTATCTCAAAGGCCAGGACCAGGACCTTCTACCTTTCTAGCTCATTCTCCCCATTAACTGTGGCCCCCTAAAAGTCTGAGCCCACTGGGTTGCCAATTCATTAGACCTTCATAATCCTTCAACCCTCTAACAGTCAATCACTCACCTTTGTCCCTGGATGAGATTACTTTTGCCCTCAACTCTCTTATTCTTTTCTCCCAGAAAAATTCCAACCCTGGACAATCAATTTCTTGCTTTTCTACACCTGCACCGAAGTAACCCTGATTGAAGGATGTCATTTTCAACTGATGGGTCAATTTCAGAATTTCAAGATCCTTGCCTGCCCAGCAGCCCTACTCATTTCCTGGATTATTCACACTCTTTTCCTAGACAAGCTCTGCCCCAAGCCTCTCTAGCTCCCAGCTATGCTTCTCTTTCCCCTTTTGCTAAGAACACAGAGGCAAGCAGTATACCGGGGCAGAAGTGATGTGGGGTTAGTTCTAGAAGTTCCAATCCAATTGAGGATGAATATTCCAGCTAACAAATGTGGATGGCATGTAAAAACTTTATAAATAGACAATTACAATGAATATCGTGCCTGAATCTGTGCAGATTCTGCTGGGGAACCTGACCAGGGAAGGCTCTGTTACCACCATCTGAACGCATTTACACTACTCAAGGAGGAAAAGCCTTTGGTGTCTCCTGTCTGTGTCATGTAACACAAAGTATGTTGTTGTTAAGTGCCGTCGAGTTGGTTCTGACCCATAGTGACCCTGTATAGGATTTCCAAGGAGTGACTGGTGAGCTTGAACCACCCACCTTACAGTTCAAACTGACTTTGCATTAACCCACATCATCACACAATAGAGTACCAAATCGAAACAAACCCATTACTGTCAAGTGGATTGTAACTCACAGCGATACTACAGGAGAGTAGAACCGCCCCACAGGATTTCCAAGGCTGCATGTAATCTTTCTTGGTGGTTGGTTCTAACTGCCAACCTTTTGGTTAGCAGCTGAGCACTTAACCACAATACCACCCATGAAGAGTTTTCCTACCAAAATGACTGAATCTAAAGCATACACGGAGAAGATGGCATGACACCTGAAACTCATTAAGAAATGTGTTTCAAGGAACATGAAATTTTTTCTCTGTCAACCCTGAAGAGGCTGGCTAGGACTCAATTCCCCATTTAAGTTGGAGGAAAGACTCAAAGAGAGGGCCCTGTGCCCCAGCCCTATTCCAGGTGGCCTGCTGACTTTTGAAAAGCAGGGAGGGTAGAAAGAGCAGGTTGGGACTGACCAGTTCAGCATACTTCTTGCACAGCGCGGCCAGCTTCTCCTCTGGGGTACTGAGCGTATTCAGTGTCTGCATCAGCAGTGTGATCTCCTTCCCTGCAAAGCACACGGAGCAAAGGCATGCACTTCAAACCCCTCCAGGTCTCGACCCATGCTTAAGACAGCCCTCCCCTATCCTACTTTATGTTTTTCTGTTCATTGAATTAGCTGTCTTCCTGGCTAGACTGAGTACTTCATGAGGGCCCAGGACCGTCCTAGTGCCTGTCATGACTGAAAATGTACTGAATTTCTTGTTAACAGAAGTAGCCATACAGTGAACTTTAAAATGAATGTACCTCCCACATATCCAACAGGGGGTAGGATAGTGGGGAGTAAGAACATAGGTATAAAGTCTCCCAAAATTGATTCTTAAATAGCCTGCCAGTCAATGCTTGTGCCCAAGTCAGAGTCTGTGGCTCCCTTCCTGAGGGTCACCTCACACAGCACATCACTAGGTTCTGAGTGTCAGAACTGGAAGCCCCAGGATCTTTGCACCAGATGGGTGCGGAGCCTGCAAAACAAAGGCAGACAGGCCAAACCAAGACCACACATGGGTTTTGTTTGGCCCCTAGTGTTTTAGTTGTCAATAATTAAAAAAAACTTTAGATAAAAAATTCGAGTTTTCTAATTTTTCTTAGACATATTAAATAATAAAAATCTGGTGGCAATAAGCCTGTAGTTTTGTATGTTTCCAAAACTGGCAGTCAACCCTCTGGATGAAGCAGGCACTCTCTTGGTCCACATGGGCCCCCTGGCTAGAGTGGTTTATGTAAACATTTGAATTTTCAATTCTGGTCTAGTCCAAATCTCTTACTATGCTATTCTTGTTAAGTGCCATTGAGTCAGTTCCGACTGAGAGACACTGTATAGGGTTTCTGAAGAGCAGCTGATGGGTTTGAACTACCAACCTTGCGGTTAGTAGTTCAGTGCTTACCCTACGGCACCACACCAGAAATCCTCTCTTATTATGGTGGTGGTTGTGTGCCTAGTTGGTGCTAACTCATAGTGACCCCATGAAGATTATCTGAGGTTGTAAATCTTTATGGGACCAGAAAGCCTCATCTTTGTCCTGTGGTGGTGGTTGTTGTTAAGTGCCGTCAAGTTGGCTCCGACCCATAGCGAGCTTGTATAGTGTTTCTGAGAAGCAGCTGGTGAGCTTGAACCGCTGACCCTGCAGTTCAAACGGCTTTGCAGTCTGGTCCATTAGCCCACAGCCCTATACCAGGACTGGTAAATTCAAACTACTGACCTTGCAGTTAGCAGCCCAGCTCGCAATTCGCTATGCTACTAGGGCTTTCTCCTACTCTAGAGAAGTGAAAACTAAGACCCAGAGGGGAGAAAGGACTTGGTCAAGGTCATACTGGCTGGCACAGGAGTCCATTCTGTTCTGGACTTTATCAAAGAGCAAGTAGTCTGGATTTCAGACCTTGCTTGCTTCTGAGGTCGGGTGTCCTTTCATAATGAGAAGTTCACACATTTCTTTGCTGTGGTCCCACATCCCATACCCCTGGCTTAATTCAAGTTAACCTCTGATTACATTAAGTCACTGCCCTTTGCTTACCCAGTCCCTTGGCTTTCTTCTTTTCCTGTGGTCTCCGGTGGTCTCGGTCTCCGCCCCCATAACGTGCCCGGATCTCCTCTGTGCCTGGCTCCCCCTTGGAGGTCTCCTTCTCACCATTGACCATGGGGGTCCCTAGCTCAGGCTCCCCGTTCCTTGTAGCATAGTTCCGAGACTTCTCTGCATCTTCAAGTTCAGGAGGCTCGCCCTGTGCCCCATCCTCACCTGGGCCCCCCTGATTGTTGTCCACACAGTAAGTACTCAAGATGTCTTCTAGCTGGCGGCTCAGCTCCTCTGATACATCACGGAGGGCCCCAGACTGAGCAGTTTTGGCTTGAGCCCCTGTAATAGAAGAGGATGAGGGGCAGGGTGAGAAAAGATGGTTATACCACTGGCTGAGATTCCTCAGGCCCAGCCAAATGAACTGACTTGGGTTAAACGTTGCCTAATCTCTTTAAAGCTGTTTATTTCTCTACAAAATGGTATTAACTATCCCTTCATCACTACCCAACAAGCTTTGTTGTGAGCACCGAGGTAGCAGATGCTCAACTCCTAGCCCCTTTCCTTCTCTCCTTCAAAGCCATTTCTCAAGATTAAAAAATGTTCCAGAAATGCCTCAAGTATGGAGAGTAGTTACCAACTGGTGACTGAGGGGTTTCCTAATGGGATCAGGATTTTTGCTGGTTGGGCCTCTCATTTGACTACAAACTGATTTAATCCCTTCCAGCCTTCTCTCAAAAGAGTTCTGCCTCTGTTTGGAATGGGAGTGGAGAGCACACAGAGGACTCCCGCACTGTCATCCTGTCATCCTAATTTCCTCCTTGCAGGGTAAACAGCAGCCTCAGCCTCTAACTCCAGAAGCTCAGCAGGAGTACCACCAACTCCTCCCACTGCCCACTGGCGGAGCAAAGCTGGCACACACCCTCGGGCTTCCCGGGGGCCTGGCTGGTGGAACCTTCAGCGTTGGTTGCAGGAGCCGTCTGTCTGGGTCGCCCCTGGGCTCCCTCTGGTCCGGCTTCCGGCTGCCCTGGATGGTTTTTTGGGTTGGAAGTGTTGCCTGATTGCTTGGCAGCCGCATTCTTTTTGTCCTGGTTCTTCATTGTGGTTTGCAATGCTAGGGTAGGAGCAGATCCTTTAGAAACAAACCCAGTTGCTATGTTTCAGACTTCAAAATTCTTCGCAGCCTGGATCAAGCAGGCGCGCAAAGCTTCTTAAAACAAACACACACAAACTGCTGGCTGGCCTTTACCAGCGAGGGGGAGAGGGGAGAAACCAACGGTTCTCTTGGTTTCGGGGCAGTCAGGGGAGCCTGCTGTGCTCAGGCAGGTTTTCGGAGCTCTGCTCCGGAGGCTGAAGAAAAAAGAGGCCTCCTTCGTTCCGAAGCCACTTCCCGGCAAAACACTGCCCCTCACGACAGACCGAGCGAGGGATTGGCCCAGGGCCGGAGACTGACGTGGCGGGATGCTCGACTCCCGATCCCTTCCCCTCCCTGTGCCCTGAGGACTCACGTGGGCCCAGGCGCGCGCGCATAGCCACCCCGCCCCACGCGCCCTTAAACCGCGCAAGCGCACAAGTATTAACCCGCCTCCCTGCCCGAGCCCACACAGGGAATCGACGTGATTCTCCCACTGATCTAAAGTATCCAGCCTACAAGCCCCTAGGACGTCTCGTCCCGCTAGCCACCGCAGTACGTACCTTATCGCCGACGTACCGACGGCCTTACCCGCTCAGGCCTCGCGCCGGAAACCCCGGGTAACCGCTGCCGGCAGAACCGCCTGCTCCAGCTGCAGCCAATCAATAACTCACGTTCTCGCGGAGCTTGCTGGGAAAGCTGAAGCGGAGGCGGCCTTTGAGGCGGGTAAATTGAGAAGGCGGGGGAGGGAAAGGACTACGCGTCCCTCCATGCATCGGGTCTAAATGACCACAACTCCCAAGATGCAATAGAAAGGGCTTTCGTTCTGTGAGCTAGTCATTCTGCAACAAATATCCATGCCAATCTCATATCTTTCAGAAGCGAAATTCAGTCCCAAAGTCTGGCTCTTGGTTATTCTTAACTACCCCACTTGGTAAAGTTCTGTGTCTCTGAACACTCCCGAGGAGAGATGGAATCCCACCAAACCCAACCCATTGCCATCTCTTTGTAGGGCTTCCAGATTTTAAATCTTTACGGGAACAGATGATGTTGTTGTTGTTAAGTGCCGTCGAGTCGGTTCCAACCCATAGCGACCCTGTATAGGGTTTCCGACGAGCGACTGGTTTGCTTGAACCGCCTACCTTGCAGTTCAAACGGCTTTGCAGTCTGGAGCATTAACCCACAGTGGCACAAGATAGCCTCATCTTTCTCCCTGTAGTGGGCTGGCGGATTTGAACTGCCAATTTTGCGATTAGCAGTCCACTGCACATTTTACGCTACCAGGGCTGAGATTCAGAAGGCCTATATACCAGTCTTAAGGAGCTCTGGTAGTGTTGCTATTGTTGTTAAGTGCCATTGAGTCTATACCGACCCATAGCAACCTTATGCACAGCAGAACGAAACACTGCCCGATCCTGGGCTAACCTCATTACTGTTGCCACGCTTGAGTCCATCGATGCTGCCACTTGGCCAGTCCATCTTGGTGGGGGTCTCTCTTTCTCTGACCCTCCACCTTACCAAACATGATATCCTTCTTCAGCGACAGCTCCCTCCTGACAATATGTCCAAAGTATGAGAGACGAAGTTTAGCCATCCTGGCCTCTAAGGAACACTCTGGCTGCACTTCTTCCAAAACGGATCTATTGGTTCTTTTGGCAGCCCATGGCACTTTCAGTAGTCTCCTCCAACATCATAACTCAAAGGCATCAGTTCTTCTATGGTCTTCCTTATTCACTGTTCAGCTTTTGCATGCATATGAGGTTATTGAAAATACCATGGCTTGGGTAGTCCTCAAGCTAACATCTTTGCTCTTCAGCACTGGTAGTGTAGTGGTTACGAATCGGGCTGCTAACTTCAGGGTCAGCACTTCGAAATTACTAGCAGTTCTGCAGGAGAAAGATGAGGCTTTCTGCTCCCGTAAAGATTTACAGCCTCTACTCCACGGCACATAACAACACAACATATACCAGTCCTAACACCATTACTCATTTGCTGAGTCAAGGCATTCTTTTCTCTCCCTGGGCCTCAATTTTTTATTCACTTGATGGTAGTGGTGGTGGTGTGCCTTGGAGTTGGTTCGGACTCGTAGTGACCCTGTATAGGGTTTCCGAGGCTGTACATTTTTACGGGAGCAAAAAGCCTCATCTTTCTCCAAATGGCTGGTAGTTTCAAACTGCTGACCTAGAGGCTAGCAGCCCCACTCGGAACCACTAGCTAGGAAGATTTTAATAATTGCAATAGCAGTTCACTGAGTGCCTGTTGTTACTGTTGGGTAACATACAGTTGGTTCCAACTCACAGTGACACAGTTCTGCGTGCTCTAATTAGTGCTCCCTTGAGCTCACTGTTGCCTACTGTGGCTCTGGAGTCCTGGTGTGGCACTGTAGTATAAACAATAGATTGCAAGGTTAGTTTGAACCCTAAGGTACACAGTTCAAACCCACTGGCCGCACCTCTGAAACGCTGTAGTCACTGTGAGTTAGAATTGACCCTATGGCATTTAACTGTGAGCTAATGCGTCAGAATGCAAAGTCGTTTGAACTGCAGCATCAGTGGTTCAAGCTCACTAGCTGCTCTTTGGAAACCCTATACAAGGTTGCTATGGGTCAGAATCAACTTGATGGCACTTAACAACATGGCTCTAGAGAATAAGCACTGGACTGCAAACCACACAGCTCTCTGAGCCTACCAGCCACTCTGCAAGAGAAAGATGAAGTTTTCAGCTCTCGCAAAGCCTTGGAAACTCCATACAGGATTTGCTATGAGTTGGAACTGTACGTTTAATTCTCATAACTGTGCATAGAGCCGAGTTCTGTAGTCCTTTATGGATGAGGACTGTAAATTAAAGGTTAGGTAACTTGTCCAAGATCACACCACTGAAGAGTGGTTAGGGCTGGGATTCAAAACCAGGAAGTCTGGCACCAGCCACCACCCTAACTACTTAGTTCACTTTCCCTTAGGGTGAGTCAAAGTAACTTGTGAATTTCATTCCCTCCCCTGCCCCCCCTTTCATCACCAGTTGACAGCTAGTTCCTCATTGGAAAGGACTGAGGGAACCCTGTAAAGAGAGCTTCATCTCAGCCAAAGATTCCCAAACCCTTTTTCCATCAGATTGTAGGCTGGCTACTGAGTAGTCTCATTAACACTGGGGCTAATGGAAAACAAAAATATACCAAACTTTATATAAATGTGAGACCAGAATTCTTTACCCCCTACCCCCATTATCAAACCCAACCCAACCAACTGCCAATCTCTTCTGACTCAGTGATCCTATAGGACAGAGTAGAACTGTTCCTTAGGACTATCATTCTTAATGGGAGCAGGCAGCTTACCTTTCTCCAGTGAAGCAGCTGGTGGGTTTGAATCACCCACCTTGCAGTTAGCAGCCTAATACTTAGCCCACTGTGCCAGCAGGGCTCCATTGTTCTTAGGTGCGGTCGAGTCAGGACTCATAGCGATCCTCTGTTTCTGAGCAGTAGCTGGTGGGTTTGAACTGATGACCTTATAGTTCCGTTAGAACCACAAGGTTGGCAGTTCAAGTTCCCCAGCTGCTCCTCAGAAACCCTATACAGGGTTGCTGTGGGTCAGAACTGACTTGACAGCACTTACCAACATACTTTTCCTGGGAAGTCCTGGTGTGGCACTGTGGCACTTAACAGCTTACTTTTACTATTTTCAGAATTTTTCAGGTTTTTGCAGGTCATAATCGACTCAACAGCACTTATTAGCAACAATAATTTTGTCTTCTAAGGAGCCCTGGCAGTTGTCATTAAGTGCCATCAAATTGGTTTCTACCCATAGCGACTCTATATAGGGTTTCCAAGGAGCCGCTGGTGGGTTTGAACCACCAACCTTCTTGTTAGCAGGCTAGTGCTTATCCTACAGCCCGCATTCACCAGGACTCCTAGCAGTGGGTTTGGTTTATTGTCTTCTAACATTCCTTTCTAGTACAAACAAAATCTTTTGAGCCCCAGTTCAAACACCAGTTTAGAGCTTTCCCAATGTTTTGAAAACTGTCCAGGCTCCCTACATCTGGGTAGAGTTGTATTGCACCACTATCAATAAGATACTGAAATGAGTATTTGCTTGCAAGTCAAAGAACACTTTGAGAATTTGCTTAGCAACCCCCAGAAAATATTTTAACTTGTTCAAATTTAACATTGTTTTGGGGGGCTCTTACAAGTTAGGCTGATAACCTCGAGGTCAGTCGTATGAAACTACCAGCTGTTCCACGGAAGATGAGCCTTTCTGCCCCATAAAAATTTACAGCCTCGGAAACCCTATGTAGGGTTTCTGTGAGTCAGAACCAACTCTACGGTACACACCTCCACCACCAAGATGTTAAATATCTCCCCCAAAAGTTCATTTAAGGAATCTATAGGACAAAGCTCTATTTAATAGTTCCCATTACCAAGGTTTGCCTTTACCAGGTTAACACTGCGAGATGCTGTGGTATAATGATGTGATTAAAGAATTGAGGAGCCAGGATTTGGAATCCAGAGCTCTTGAAATAAAGGCTGTTTCCAGAAAAGCATGTTAAAATCTTTCAAGGAGGTAACATACCAATAAAGCCTTGCTGGATTTCCATTGGAAGAGGGTGTTCTGGGCAGAACTAAAGAAGATAAGCAAGAACAGGTGTATATGGAGTGAAGGGTATAGCAGGAAAGGTCAGCACTGACCTTCAGGAACCAGATGGGTAATACAAGTGGAGCAGGCAACAAGAAAATAAGAAAAATCCATCGTTTATAAAAAGTCACTTTCTGTACTGTAAAAAACTGGCAATGAGTCAGGGAGACAAGTAGGAATGCTGTGGATTATGGTAGAGCAACTCTTGCAGTTTGTTGCCAAGCAGAAACTCAGGCCCAATATAGTAGCAGATATTCATTATTTTTCAAGATAGATATTTCTTGATTTTTAAAATGTTGGCAACTAAAATGTAAAGCATAAGGAGCTCTGGTAGCTTAGTGGTTATGAATCGGGCTGCAAACCGCAAGGTCAGCAGTTCGAAACTACCAGCCGTTCCGCAGGAGAAAGATGAGGCTTTCTGCTCCCGTAAAGATTTATAGCCTTGGAAACCCAGTACAGGGTTGCTGTGAGTCAGAACCGACTACACAGCACATAACCACGACCACCACCAGTGAAATAAAACCCTCCTTTAGGGCTAAATCAAATAGTTTGGCTTCTTGTAATTTGTTTTAGGAAATGCTCTAAACTTAAGTGAGGCATTTGTGAACTGTATGACATCAACTTTTATGAGGCCATTTCCTGTCAGAATGGGACAATGTTCAAACTTATATGCCTCAAGAGGGCTCTGAAGTGATGACGAAATAGTTTCAAGGTCCTTTACAGAAATCCTAGAAAATGCAAAGTAATCTACAGTGATTAAAAAATGCAGATTTAGTGGTTGTTGGGGACACAGTGAAACTTAAGGGGATGTTGAGTATGTTCATTTGACTGTGGTGAGAGTTTCATGACCGCATACATATAAAAATGATCAAAGTGGACACTTTAAATAGGTATAGTTTATTGTATTTCAATTTTATGCCAATAAAGTTGTTAAAAAACAACAACAAAAAACACAAACCCTTTATAGCAGGAGCAGGCTAGCGCAATTCTTATTTCTCCTGTTAGGCTAACAAGTTTAAACACCCTCTCCTCATTTACTTTCAAATAATCCAGCCTAGGTTAACTCCAAACGAAAAGACACAATTTAGAACTTTGAAACAGGTTTTTATTTTTGCTTTATATCTATTATTACAGTGTTTGAAACCTAAAGAAATACATTTTTCTCTGCAAATTTGGATGTGTATATAAATACCACTTGTCTGGACTCAGCACACTCAATGCCATGGTTTCTTGGCCTATGTCTGCTCTGAAATCATCAAGCTGTCTATCTACCCAGGGGCCCTGATAACATGGAAAACAGCCAGAGAGTTTATGGTTCTTGGAAAAATAAAACAAATGAATTCTGAAATAAATATCAGTGAGGAAGAGAAGGGTTGGATTCATCTGCCTAAGGTCTATAGCTGGGAATCCAACTTGTTTTAGGGGGCTGGTCATCTGTTCTCTTGGATGGTTGGGGTCCTATACTTCCTTTTCCTTTACTAGTGATCCAATCAAAGGCAGTTCCCACAAAAATTGGATAAAGAAGCCCGAGAGTGCTAAGGACATCCTCTGAGTCAGACGTTCCCAGCCAGCCACAGGGCCTCTCCACAAGCCCAGGACCCGTTTCAGGGAACAGGGCTAGCTTTGAATAGGCTTTCAGGTAAATGCTGATGTGGACATATGAAACCAGGCTGGCTTAGAATTAGCCAGTTAGGAGGCCCAAGCCTATTGGAGACCTTTATAACACACTGCAAACCTCTCTTTTAGTGGCTGGGCCTGCAATTTAATGCTGTCTTTCCTTACTCTCAAAGCCAGCTTTGCTTCCACACATAGTGCAGGTTTAATGCAAAGTGCTCTCAGAGGGAAAATAACAGCTTTGTTACAGAGATGGTTAGTCTGGACCTTATTTTCCTCTCTTGCCATAGTCTTAATCTAAGGGTAGGGATAGTGTAGTGGATAGACAATGGGGTGACTGAATCATTATGAAGGTCTTGGCCAAACAGCAACTAATGTCTACCACATGGATTCCTGTAAGTCCAAATTCTCAGCTTCTTGAGTTAAAATGAATCCAAAAGTTAAGACACAGAAAAAATACTGGTTAAAGTTGGTCTAGACATGTAAAAAAACCTACTCTGTGTAGTTTTCAGCCCTACACTCATGAATTCTTGGGGTAGTCCTATCTAGAAGATGTTGCCACTGGTTATAGGCATTTCCTATGATTCAGTGCCCTGAGCCTTGTACCCTTTTCCCAGGCTGCCAGGGAGGGAGGCAGGCAGAAGACAGGCACATTCACTAAGTCCGCAACCAGTCTGTTCTCCCTACAACCCTGAAATACTTGCAGGAACCTGAAAATAAGATTCTTACCTTCAGTTGAGAATCTAGAATCTGAGCTTATAAGATGACTCATAGCTCATGAGTAACATCCAATATGATGGGTACAGAGCTGAGCGAGTCTAGGGGAGAAGAGAGGAACCTGGGCAAATGAGCTGGGCCCTTCAAAGAGGGGTGCAGGATAAGGAAGTAAGTATGGCTAGGCTTTCATCTCCATTCCTTCTAGTTAGCTAGAACAAGAACTCCAGGGTGTAGGGGAAAGGCAGATAAACATGAGAATATGTAAGTTAAGTTCTTTCTTTTTCATTTTAAACAGATTTTAGTGAAATAGAATATCTTTGCTAAGAGATTGCAACCCTTCTTTCCCTGGTTCTTGACTAAGTACAGTTGCAGCTACAAATCAGTTTAGCTTCAGAATATATGGTTCCTAGAATAAGCAAAGAAGGTAGACAAAACAGATCTAAGGGCTCTAATAAAAGAACACCACGGGGCCCTAAAAGCTGGGGTCATCAACGCTTAATCCTTAGAAAGGTCATTTTTGCCCATGGCTCCAATTAACTAGGTTGACCAGTTGAGGGTAAAATCTACTAGATTTTACTAGAAAGCCTGTAGTCAACACCAGGGCTAGGTAGTCATTGGGAATTGCTGGGAACTGAAGACCAAAGATCCTGTTAGTACTAGCAAGATGATATGTGATTGGAGGGCCAAGAGGGGCTGGTAATAAATAGCTGGCATAGTTCAAAATAGTATTTGAACACTTTAGTTACAAAAAAGGCTCCTTGTCCTTTTAATTCACATGTACATTCCTCTGCAAAACTATAGCCAGAGATCTTAGAATGGATATACTACTAGCCATATGCTAACTTAAGAGGATTCCAACATGTCTAGACTTAATAGGTTGTTAACAGGCTGGAGTGCCCCTCTATCCTTGCAACAATCACTCAGAATCTACCAGTAAGCCTTTGAACCTCACTTAGGCCAGGGTCAGAGGTCTAGTAGGGGGCTGACCATGAAGATGTCTGTCAAGCCTGGGCTGAAGAAGTAATTTTTTTGCTTCCAAAGATGACTAAAGGAGGAAGGGACACATAAGACCTGCTATGCTATATTGGCTGGAAGAATTTCACTGCTGACTGAGTGGGGTTTAGCAATTGAGAATTGGAAAACATGGTTTGGAAATGACACTAACAAAGCAAAGTGCCTAGAGGCCAGTTTTCTTTAATGAGGAACGTGCCTTCATGTTATGCCCCCATGAAGTACTTGGAGAAAACTGGCTTTGAGCACCAACCTAGATGACCAAAAAAAGTCTTCTATCTAGTACAGAGCTCAGATCTGAAGCCAAAGTAGATTTTGGAAGAATGGTTGGGAAAGCAAGATCTATATGCTTCACACAAAGAATTTGGCCCTAATATCAAACACATTGCTTGAGATGTACAAAGTGAATCCTACACTATTGCTTTGGGTCTCTGCACAAGGGAAATGGGGGGGAAAGCCTTCCTTTGCATTGATTTGTAATGGAGGCAAAAGTTCCAGTAAAAATCGTCCTGTCTCTTGCTACCTGGGAGACTATGGGTTGGTAGTCATCATTCCCTCATGGCATCTAATATACTAAGGCAGAATATCATTAGTGTAACTTTCCTGGGATAACTGCCAGCCCCAAATTACCTTGTTTATAAAATGGCCCTAGAGTTAGACCTGAATTCTAGAAGGAGAGGGCAAATCCAAGATCAGTGGCCTACAGTGAGCACCTGAACTTTAGGCATGTAAGCATGGATTTCACCTGAGCCAGAAGAGGATGTGTAGGAATGGAAGCAAGAATGGCACGGTTTCTGGGGAAGGAAAAATAAGCTTGGAGCAGGGCATCTCTGACTAATCACAGTTTGATGGTAGTGAGGGGCAGACTGTGCCTGCAGCAGTTCCACACTTGATTTCTACTTAGCTGACAACTTCCTCCACTCTGATGCCTCACAACTGGGCTTTATTATACCGTGTTGTCTACTCAGAGGCATAGAAAAGCCATTGAGGCACACTGCACTAGTTTTACTTAGAGAAAGAAAAGGGCAAGACCCAAACCAGGACCCTAAACAGGAAGATACCAGTAACTCTCAGAAAAGTATTCAGGTTGCTGAAATCTCTGTGAGAATAGAAGAGGAAGCCATGTGTAATAATTTATATGGGCAGGAGTCTTTGAGACTGAATCTGAAAAGGCAGACTGCTTAGAAGCGAGGGCTTCATCAGGCCCTGGGGCATCCTTGCTCCCTGTGAGTGAGTACAGGGACAATCAGATCAAACTGTCCTGCTAATACAAAGGTTCTAGAGCTTAGGGTTGGTCCCAGATGGTGGCCCAACATCCAACCAGAGAGGAAAGGGATCACGCTTAGGCCCCGAGTGTGGGAGCTTCCACATCTCTTTTTTGGTCTTCCTCACAGTATCCAACTTACAACAATTACACAGTTCTTCCACTTGAGACCAATTAAGATTGACCTACCTAATATATAGAATATAAAAAAATACAGAACTTTTTGACATTCTCTCCTTTGGAAGTAAAATATACATGATCCAACTGTGGAAGAAGAGGATGAAGAAAGGTCAAAGGCAGGGAGTCCTGGCTATCCCAATACATGACACTCTCACTCCGACCTCCTCTGAAATTTATGGGTCACCAGAGCTAGGACCATCTTCTCCTTAGACGAAAGGAAGGACCACAGCCTCCCATCTCATGCTTAGGAGAAAATGCAACCACCTCGGAGGTGAACTCCGGGGGTAGGGGTGGGATTTTCAAGTAAACAAATGAAGTTGGGTCGCACCATTTGGAAGGTGGGTAGGAAACCTGGGATCAGTAGCGACACATGGGAAGCCCTGTCTGAAGGCTGTGCTCCTCCTCTCCACTCCAAACTGATACATTTGCCCAGGAGAGTGAGGAGGAGCGCCCAAACTAAAGCAGTCTAGGCCAGGGACCAGAGAGGAGGAAGGACCTTTGCCTCATGGTGGCCTTCCCCTCAGCCTCTAGTCCCAGACAATGCTGACAACTGGGATTCCTAAAACCAGGAACTCATGGCGCTTGGGAAGAGCAACCTTAATACAAGAAAAATGTGCAAAAGAAAAAAATTAAATAACTCAATCCAAGCATACAAGATTACTATTCTTTCAGAGCAAGAACACTTTGGGATTTCCCCTCCTCCCACCCCTACCTCTGGGAAATAGTCCATCTGCTCAAGTACCCAAGATAAGAGTTACACAGATCAGGGCAGAGGATTGGGAAGGGTGAAGAAAAATAAAAGGGAAGTCACCACAAAAGAAAACAAAAAATTAAAAAAAGGTGCAAAATTGATTACCTCAGTCCTCCATTGTCTACCCCTGGGCTCCTGGGTTAAAGACATGTGTGCAGCCAAAATATAGTGTAAGGAAGAAAAACCCCTTCTTGTCACAAAACCCAAATGTGAGCCTCAGATGGTTCTGTCCAGAGGGTGTTCCCTCCAGGGAAGGGGGTGGAGCAGGTCAAGAGCACAGTCTCCAGGGTAGCAGAGGTGTGTGGTAGCTGATGATGGGGGGGCTGGTTTCCCGCTCACCAGAGGCTGCTTTTCCGCTGGTTGGTGGTGCTTCCCATTCCCTCCCCTCCCCGGAGGCAGACATTATAGCTGGAAGCCCTCCATGGGGGCCTCTGGCTGCTGGAAGATGAACTGCTGCTGTGTTTCATCCACTTGGGGAGCCAGGCTGCTGTCATCATCTTCTACACCAAAGTAGTGCTCAATGAGGTCAAAAGCCTTCTGGTAGATTTCCTGGTTCTCGTGGCTCTGGAGAAACTCAATTTTATCTAAGCCTTTGGTAGCAAGAAGGAAGGAGGGAGATGAATGAAGTTTGAGTGCTTTTCTATGGGAAGAGGTAACTATCTATTTTTCCTACCCTGAGATGTTAGTATTTATAAACATAATATGATCAAATCACTGATCTCAAAGTGGAGAGTCATGAGCTTTCCCTAACTTACAAAATCCCAAAGGAAAGAGACCAAATGTGGGGCAAGTTTTTAAGCTCTTCAAGTCTCTCTTCTCAGACACAAGTCAATATAGTACTCTTATTAGAATTTACTAGAAACTCAGCTAAAACACATGCCTTCCAGCGCCTGCTTCTATTATCAGTTTAGGACCTTTATCTAAGTATCTGCACCATACCAATTTACTGGGTAGGGCTTACCAGAGAGAACTACTTTTTCTCAGACAAGAATATTGGTACATAAAACCTTGGTTTGAAAAATGACTCAAATCCAAGTTCCACTATACCCCAGCCACACCGTACATGACTCATTTGTCCCACAGGAATATTTAAAACTGTAAAATCCCAGGATTAGAATCCACTTGAATGCAACTAGTTTATTTTTTCAATGGTACACCTTGGCAAGAGCAACGTAACCAATTTTGGAGACAACTTAAATCTGATGGAAGCCAGGGGTGCTCCCAAAAAAACATACATCCTCATACTTTGAAACCAGGTTTGAGGCCCAAAGTCCCTAGATTCTGACCTTGAACCTCTCTGCTTAAAGGTGAGGTGAGGGTGGGGAGAGGGCACATACCATAAGCTTCCTCGATGAGGCCACAGTAGGGATTGACCCCTGAGCCACTGCGCTTGCCCTCTTGCTCTCCAAGCCGTAGGATGTTCTCCAGTCCATTGAGGGCCACTTGTACAATCTTCGAATCCATCACAGTCAGCAAGTCACACAGGGGTTTGATGCAGCCCAGTGAGACCAGGTACCTGGAGGCCAGAGCCCAGGAAAATTCTAAGTTAATGCTGGGCAACTGAATTGCTAGGCGGGTGTTTTGGTCTGAGTCTCTCTGAAACATCAACACTCCCAACAATCCACCTTAGTGAGTCTGGATAACTACTTATTTTCTTTCTATCTCAACCTCTCTATCCTCCCATTGCTACCAGTTAACTTAATTTCTTATGTGCACGACTGCAACAGATAACTTCTTTCCTTTGCTGCAATATTACCCTCTACTGAAACATAGCTCTGAACACATCATTTCTCTGCTTAAAAATTTTCACAGGTTTCATATTTCCCCCAAATTCATGCTGCCCTTTGGGATGATAACAACTCAGAGCCAAATCTGTCATCAAGTCAATTCCAACTTATCTTGACCCTATAAGGCAGTGTAATTACTCCATATTTTCTGAGACGGTAGATCTTTACAATAGATAGCCTCATCTTTCTCCTGTGGAGTGGCTAGTGAGTTTTGAACTGTCAATCTTGCTGTTAGTAGCCCAAGGCTTAACCCACTACACCACCAGGGATCCTATAATTTGACTCCTGTCTCCTTTTTAGGTAGAATTCCTATTATCCTCTCTCAAGGATTCACTATATTCCAGTGAAACTTGTTGTAAGTAAAGGTTTTCAGCTGATTGTTATACTGTTAACTTATATGCTTTTTTCTGTCCAATAGGTCTTTTTCAACATCATACTCATTAATACTCAATTGTTATTGTTAGGTGCCATCAAGTCTGAACCAACTCGAGGCAACCCTATGCAGAACAAAACATTGCCAGTCCTGTGCCAACCTCACAATCGTTGCTACATATGAGCCTATTGCTGCTGCCACTGTGCCAGTCCATCTCGTTGGGGTCTTCCTCTTTTTCACTTTACCAAATATGGTATTCTTCTCCAAGGACTGGTCCCTCCTGATAATATGTCTGAAGTATCAGAGGTGAAGTCTGGCCATCCTGGCTTCCAGGGAGCATTCTGGCTGTACTTCTTCCAACACAGATTGGTTTGTTCTTTTGGCAGCCCATGGGATTTTCAATATTCTCCTCCATGGGATTTTCAATATTCTCCTCCAACACTATAACTCAAATCCATCCATTCTTCTATGGTCTTCCTTATTCACTGTCCAACTGTCACACGCACATGAGGTGATTGAAAACACCATGGCTTGGGTCAGGCGTACCTTAGTTCTCAAAATGACATCTTTGCTCTTCAGCACTTCAAAGAGATTTGCGTAAAGCAACATGTCATTTGATTTCTTGACTGCTGCTTCCATGAGTGTTGATGGTTGAGCCCAGCAAAATGAAGTCTTGGACAACTTCAATCTTTTCTCCATTTATATAGATGTTGATTATTGGTCCAGTGGTGAGGATTTTCATCTTCTTTACATTGAGGTGCAACCCACACCAAAGGCTGTGGTCTTTGATCTTCATCAGTAAGTATTTTAAGTCCTCTTAACTTTCAGCAGACAAGGTTGTATCATCAGCATACCACAGGTTGTTAATGAGTCTTCCCTCTAATCCAGATGCCATGTTATTTTTCTTATAATCCAGCTTCTCAGATTATTTGTTTAGCACAGAGATTGAATAAATATGGTGGAAGAATAAACCCTGGTACGCATCTTTCCTAATTTTAAACCATTCAGTGTTCCCTTGTTCTGTTCGAACAACTACCTCTTGGTATATTGTACAGATTTCTCATGAGCACAATTAAGTGTTCCGGAATACTCATACTTTGCAGTACTGTCCATAGCTTGTCATGATACACACAGTTGAAAGCCTTTGCATAGTCAATAAAGTATAGGTAAACATCTTTCTCGTATTCTCTGCTTTCACCCAAAATTCATCTGATATCAGCACTAATATCCCTTGTTCCACCGTCCTTGTCTGAATCTGGCTTGAACCTCTGGAAGTTCTCTGTCAATGTATGTTTGCAGCCATTTTTAGATTATCATTAACAAAGTTTTACTTGTATGGGATATTAATGACATTGTTGTTAACTTCTACATTCTGTTGGGTCACCTCTCTTTGGAATGGGCACAGATACGACTTAGTGATTATCTGAAGAACATATTTGATGCATCAGACACTCAACTCAGTGGTTGCCCCTTTTCTCCTATGACTTTATATATATATGGACTATACGTCTATTATTAGATTATGAGCTGAGGGCAAGACACATGTCCAATTTTCACAACTCATAGGTTAATGCATTGAACTGCAGAGTCTGAACCGCAAGGTTGGCGGTTTGAACCAACTTTGCAGTCCAGTGCATTAACCCACAACACCACACCAGGATTATTTTGCTTCTCTTGAGTCTTACCAAAAAAATGATTTCCCAAAGAATCTGTTTTATATTGAGCACTGAGAATGACATGGACTTCCATTCTCTGGAAGGTAGGAACAGGCAGAGGAGGGATGGATGTCTGTGTTGTGGATTTGTATTCCTCAGGAGAGAAAACAGGTACTACCTATTGTGGTCTATAGAAACCTATTGCAGATTTCAGTCCAGTTTATCTGCCCCTACTCCATATCCTACTGTAGTTGGATTAGGGGCAGATCTATACCAGCAAAAGTAGTTTAGGGGTCATCTATGACTCATGAGGAGTCCTGGTGTGGCGCTGTGGGTTAAAGTGCCAGGCTGCAAAGCTGTTTGAACTGCAAGGTTGGCAGTTCAAGCTCACCAGCTTCTCCTCAGAAACCCTATACAGGGTTGCTATGTGTCGGAATCGGTTCAATGGCACTTAACAACAACAACAATGAATCATGAGCA